TTTGTGGTATTGTGGTCTGACTGCGACACAAACATGTATAACAGTGCCTCCTCACAGGTGGGCGTTTTGACACAGGTTTAAATGTCATCACAATAAATGAGATAATAACACTTCCTAAATGGTAGATTGATGAATTCTGTTAAACAGGGTTTAACAAGAGTTTAACAATTTAACAACAAAAAGTTTCGAAGTGATTTTAAAAAAGGTTAAACAATAAAGATTATATAGAATAGAATGTTTATATCAAATATAATACACTTGAGTGAGTGCTGCTTATTGAATAATGCTGATACAGTAAACATTTATTGTATTTATGTATATGATAAGCTAGGGCATCGGCTGTAATTTGAATATTGTAGTCTGAAGCAATTTGTATATTTTGAAAACTACCTGCCATCATAACATTTGACTCAAGTACCGTACACATTACAAAATTGTGTTCCAAGTGTACAAAGTGTAAACAAGATTGTATATCACCACTTTTTGTCCTGTGTTAATAGGGACCGCGTTTAAATTTGTTAGTTGTTTAACGCATCACTCAGCAATATTCCAGCTATATGATGGCGGTCAGTAAATAATCGAATCTGGACCAGACAATCCAGTGATTGACATCATGAGCATCGATCTACGCAATTCGGATACGATGACATGCATCAACCAAGTCAGTGAGCCTGACCAATCGATCCCGTCAGTCGACTCTTACGACAAGCATGGGTTGCTGAAGACCTATTCTGACCCGGATCTTTACGGGTCGGGGGTCCCGAGGCTTCATCTAAGCGGTGGGCGTTTAAGCCATGTATCTCCTCAGCGTTCATCCAACATCAAGCTGTCTTGTCGGGAAAAAACTGAAATACTGTTCAAAGAGGCGGTAAACCAATCTCACTCACTCATTCCGACATCAAGCCAACGAATCAAGATACGACAAGCATAGTCGCCTTTTACGGCTGACCGCGTTTAAAGAGGAATTACCTTGTAAACAAACATGTTGTACTTATTCTGACACAAAGGAAAGGTGGTTATCCTCTCTGGTTAGATTTTGCACGTCATTGTACGTTCAGTTAGTGAGTTTGCACCGACCCCAAACAGTGTTTCAGTTGTGTTGCAGTGTGGGAAGGGACACGTGTTAAAAGACCTTTGCCACTCTGGTCAAACCCACAAACATGGCGTGGTGCTGACCGAGCATGGATCATAATCAGAGTGAATCTTGGAACTTTTTCCAAGATCTGCAGGTCCTGGCACTGGTAAAAGTGGCCACTTTCCACAACTAATGGCTGCACCTTAACAATTGTGGCACCTGTGTAGAGAATGGGCCTCGTTGGCTAACGGGCGACTCGTGACCTCTGCAGTGATTGTGATCTGGGCGAGTACAGGTTGCCTCTCAGCTGAAAGTGCAGCACTGCATGTTGCACCTTAACAGTGCATGAGAACACCAGGTATTTACCCTGGGACTTTTCAAGGATTCCCTTTCTGGACTGTTTTCTCAGGCATCCAAAAAAGGATGAGTGTTTACGTAAGAATTTGTGTCGCTGTGGTCTGTAATTATTCAAGTCTTGGAAAAAAGCTTCCAAATCTCCAAGATTCACATGATTTTCCAAAAGAGTTCACCTTTTTTAGCTCCCACCTGCAATTTCTGTTTTCTGCAGCCAAAAGGTTGACAGAGCAAATGGAATCAATTTTTGTTCATTCTCTGTAAACAAGGCACTACCGACTTAAATTTCTGGGAGGGAAACTGGGATTTTGGTGGGAGAAAAAATGTCCCAGGCATCCCCACCCAGTGAGAATATCAACAGGACCCTAAAAGAGTTTTTACTGTGTTGTTTTTCATATATCCCAGCAGCTGGAAACCAAATCAGTCATTGACACACTGAACGACTAATCCTCATATATTGGTCACCCTACGCTATGACAGGCATTGAGCCACGGGTGTGCAGTGGGGATATTTAGCAGTGCTACTTTAAGCTGTTACATGTCTCACATGTGCATACCTCACATTACTTCAACATGTGTTATTCAAAGGGTGACACACCTTATCTTCTTCCTGGTTCTTTTCTTCCTTTTGTGTTCAAGGTAGGCTGCATTTGAGTAGTGTAAGAAACATGAGAAGCTGGGTGTGTCTGACATAGAGGACACATCACAATAACGGTGGTAATAGCATGACCACCATGGGGTACTGGGTGTGTCTGACATAGAGGACACCCAGTACCCTATGCTGGTCATACTATTACCACCGTTATTGTGGAGTGTCCTCTATGTCAGACACACCCAGTACCCCATGCTGGTCATACTATCACCACCGTTATTGTGGAGTGTCCTCTATGTCAGACACACCCAGTACCCCATGCTGGTCATACTATTACCACCGTTATTGTGATGTGTCCTCTATGTCAGACACACCAAGCTTCTCATGTTTCTTACACTACTTAAATGCAGCCTACCTTGAACACAAAAGGAAGAAAAGAACCAGGAAGAAGATAAGGTGTGTCACCCTTTGAATAACACATGTTGAAGTAATGTGAGGTATGCACATGTGAGACATGTAACAGCTTAAAGTAGCACTGCTAAATATCCCCACTGCACACCCGTGGCTCAATGCCTGTCATAGCGTAGGGTGACCAATATATGAGGATTAGTCGTTCAGTGTGTCAATGACTGATTTGGTTTCCAGCTGCTGGGATATATGAAAAACAACACAGTAAAAACTCTTTTAGGGTCCTGTTGATATTCTCACTGGGTGGGGATGCCTGGGACATTTTTTCTCCCACCAAAATCCCAGTTTCCCTCCCAGAAATTTAAGTCGGTAGTGCCTTGTTTACAGAGAATGAACAAAATTGATTCCATTTGCTCTGTCAACCTTTTGACTACCAGTACCCTATGCTGGTCATACTATTACCACCGTTATTGTGATGTGTCCTCTATGTCAGACACACCCAGTACCCCATGCTGGTCATACTATTACCACCGTTATTGTGGAGTGTCCTCTATGGCAGACACACCCAGTACCCCATGCTGGTCGTACTATTACCTCCACAATAACGGTGGTGATAGTATGACCAGCATGGGGTACTGGGTGTGTCTGACATAGAGGACACATCACAATAACGGTGGTAATAGTACGACCAGCATGGGGTACTGGTAGTCTCTGACATAGAGGACACTCCACAATAACGGTGGTAATAGTCTGACCAGCATGGGGTACTGGTAGTCTCTGACATAGAGGACACTCCACAATAACGGTGGTAATAGTACGACCAGCATGGGGTACTGGTAGTCTCTGACATAGAGGACACTCCAGAATAACGGTGGTAATAGTAGGACCAGCATGGGGTACTGGTAGTCTCTGACATAGAGGACACTCCAGAATAACGGTGGTAATAGTACGACCAGCATAGGGTACTGGTAGTCTCTGACATAGAGGACACACCAGAATAACGGTGGTAATAGTATGACCAGCATGGGGTACTGGGTTTCTCTGACATAGAGGACACATCACAATAACGGTGGTAATAGTATGACCAGCATAGGGTACTGGTAGTCTCTGACATAGAGAACACTCCACAATAACGGTGGTAATAGTACGACCAGCATGGGGTACTGGTAGTCTCTGACATAGAGGACGCTCCACAATAACGGTGGTAATAGTAGGACCAGCATGGGGTACTGGTAGTCTCTGACATAGAGGACACTCCACAATAACGGTGGTAATAGTACGACCAGCATGGGGTACTGGTAGTCTCTGACATAGAGGACACTCCAGAATAACGGTGGTAATAGTAGGACCAGCATGGGGTACTGGTAGTCTCTGACATAGAGGACACTCCAGAATAACGGTGGTAATAGTACGACCAGCATAGGGTACTGGTAGTCTCTGACATAGAGGACACACCAGAATAACGGTGGTAATAGTATGACCAGCATGGGGTACTGGTAGTCTCTGACATAGAGGACGCTCCACAATAACGGTGGTAATAGTACGACCAGCATAGGGTACTGGTAGTCTCTGACATAGAGGACACTCCAGAATAACGGTGGTAATAGTAGGACCAGCATGGGGTACTGGTAGTCTCTGACATAGAGGACACTCCAGAATAACGGTGGTAATAGTACGACCAGCATAGGGTACTGGTAGTCTCTGACATAGAGGACACACCAGAATAACGGTGGTAATAGTATGACCAGCATGGGGTACTGGTAGTCTCTGACATAGAGGACGCTCCACAATAACGGTGGTAATAGTATGACCAGCATGGGGTACTGGTAGTCTCTGACATAGAGGACACACCAGAATAACGGTGGTAATAGTATGACCAGCATGGGGTACTGGGTTTCTCTGACATAGAGGACACATCACAATAACGGTGGTAATAGTATGACCAGCATGGGGTACTGGTAGTCTCTGACATAGAGAACACTCCACAATAACGGTGGTAATAGTACGACCAGCATGGGGTACTGGTAGTCTCTGACATAGAGGACACTCCAGAATAACGGTGGTAATAGTCTGACCAGCATGGGGTACTGGTAGTCTCTGACATAGAGGACGCTCCACAATAACGGTGGTAATAGTCTGACCAGCATGGGGTACTGGGTTTCTCTGACATAGAGGACACTCCACAATAACGGTGGTAATAGTATGACCAGCATGGGGTACTGGTAGTCTCTGACATAGAGGACACTTCACAATAACGGTGGTAATAGTACGACCAGCATGGGGTACTGGGTGTCTCTGACATAGAGAACACTCCACAAAAGTGGTGGTAATAGTAGGACCAGCATGGGGTACTGGTAGTCTCTGACATAGAGAACACTCCACAAAAGTGGTGGTAATAGTAGGACCAGCATGGGGTACTGGTAGTCTCTGACATAGAGGACACATCACAATAACGGTGGTGATAGTATGACCAGCATGGGGTATCTGGATTATCTGGATTATCATGGACACTCCACAATAATGGCAGTTTAAGCAAAAGATGATTCTATTCAGTAGAAAACAAAACTCAACAAATATCTCAAGACTTTTATTGCCAAACAATAAATTACCTATATTCGCCAGCACTCGTCTGATGTTTCTATGCAAAGAATCAGAAAAAAACTCTCATGGCTGACACCGAATTCACAAAAGTCAGTTTAGAAGAGTGAAATGTTAATTCATGCCAGACTATTTCTTTTAAAGAGTTATTTACCACAATTAATAATAATTTTGTATAAGAAAAACCTGCATTCTCAATACCTCAAGTTATATTTCTTTCCACGTGAAGTGCTACATAAAATATATCTCATGTTTCTGAGTTTACAAATTTCAAAACTAGCACAAGTTGGTTTGACATTTTGCTCACATGTATTTCAAAAACATCTTTGAAAGTGATCTGAAGTCAACTGAGGACAAAGCCAGTTGGGAAAGAGGGTCCAACATGACAATACAGTTTTCTGTCTAACCAAAGACTATTTCTGATATTCCGTAGTTTTTTTATCATTTGATAAACTCTTAACAGTCACAACGGAGTTTCCAGGACAAAAGACCATGGTACTGTGTATTTGACGCTCTGTTTGAAAGAATATTTAAAACCTATCCAACACTGCACGAGCAATCTGGTAGATCGGTCACTTACAATGTCCTAACATCTTATTAATGATCTAAAGAATGGACTCATCATTGCAGTAGCATGTGTCCAAAGATGGAAGTGACACAAGGTGAACAGCCCATGTCTTACTCTTACAAATGAAAGCCAAACTCGCCAGTTTACACGAACAGATCATATGTATGTAGGGTTGTATTCCAGCACCAAGATGACACGTGAATATCTACACTTAATGTATGAGTGAATGAGTGAGTCAGTGAGTACAGTTTTTCGCCACTTTTAGCCATATTCCAGCAATATCATGCCAGGGGAACCAGAATTGGGCTTCACACATTGTATGGAATGGAATCCGGGTCTTTGGCATGACAAGTGAACACTTTAACTAGTAGGCTACCCCAGCGCATCACTTTATCAGAGACCATATAATAGAGGGACGGCCCTCTAGCCTATGCGCGAAACCATCAGTGCTACGGCTTGTACTGCGCAGCCTGTCCGGAAGCGAGCAGAAACGCGTTAACTGCAGTCATCGCTGTCGCCTTTTTTTCCCATGCAAAAGATATATTTTACAAAACAAAATTACACTCATGTATTTCTTAACATTGTTAACATTACAACTGAGATTTGTTGGTGCCCTAAAGCATGTCGTTGTCACTGTATTTGATGACTGTGATCACGCTTTGTCTTTGTCCGAGAGAACAAAATGGCGCACATGTAAAATCGGCAAAAGTGCAGATATTGATTTTCAATAACGGCCTCTAATTCGCAATGAAAGTCCTTGGTTACCAAGGTGTATAAAAAGGATATATGTTAAAAATTGGCTTAGTGCCATTTACAAATTTAGGGCGGATGCGATATTTCAGATTTTGACTCCAGAAATGGGACTAAATCTGACTTTTCCCGAAATAATTACACCACAACTCTTAATTTCCGCATGCTTTCAGACGAATGTGTTCCTATCATCGGTCCTGAATTAAATAGTTTTACATTCATCACGATTTCCCCTTTGGCTTGGTACCAAAGTTATTTAGGTACGATCGGTAGTTTTTTTTGTATGATTTTTGGCGCAAGGCCATATTTTACGTCACATATTTTAAATTAAATTACCATATATAGCAGACGAAATAACATGCATTTTGTCTGTGATTATCATCCGCATATATCTTTTGAAACATTATACAAAGTGACATATTGTATGATATTAGAATTGTTTTTGTAAGACACGTATTTTTTTTACCTTTGCTTTCGCCATTTTTTCGTAAGTTTAACTTTGTTTCAGTTAGGCTTCTATCACATATCGCGCATATACTATATACTACAATACTACATATTTGTTATCTTCTGAAGATTTTGTCTGTATTAATCATGACTACATTTAATCAATTATTTATTTTATGCCGTGTAAATATTGATTATGAGCAAAATGATCTTGGCCTAAACCCAATCATAATAATGTAAATATGATGAAGGTACTACTTACTTTGTGTATTTACACAACAATAAAAACATCATACAAAAATAAAAACCCGTTTCATGAAATATTTGTATTATACAATTATCATTTGCTTTGTAAATGCCAAGAAAAAAGAAGGATTATATCGGCAGTCGTCGGGAGAGAAGTTCCAGACAACAAGGTCGAAGGTGTCAAACTTATCTCGCTCCGGCAAACCCTATTATCACTGCTAGCCCCAAACTGGCATTAACCAATAACATTTGATTCTTTCGAAGCCCATTGTCAGACACATCGAAAATTCATTTAACAACGCTCGTAGTTTAATGTGTATTTTTAATTCATTGGAATTATTAGCATTATAAAATAGTAGCGAATTTACATGAAATAAAAACATTAATATGGCGTCATTTTTTTCTGGCTAATAGTAAAGCATTTACACCAGTCGGTGATCATGCATTTTTGCAAGTAAATCTAGTCTGGACTTAATATAAGATATGAAGTTAATCTGGAGATATATTTTGTGAACATCGGGAATAGGGTGATATGTTACAAGTGTCTTCCCTGCTTCTGAATGAGTTTTATTTACACTTCCTGAGTTCCTGTGCAATTTACCGGATCGTAGTTTTCTGTGGCGTTCGTAGTAGATTTGGTATATTTGTTTATTTATAATAGTTAACAATTGCAGCATAAAATGAGATATGTAAATTGAAATAAATGTCCCGGAAGACACACATGTTCAGCAAATAATTTGCAGCCAACTGACATGTGCTAATGAGAGATATCATACAAAAATCTTTGTAATCCGCTAAGAGACGTCCTTTTATTGGATTGTCGCTGGTCGTAGTCGGAGAAATCTCGGCTAAGGGAATTAACTCTTACCCCGGATATTATGTAATATTGTTTACGTGGTTACCAGAATGGTCAGTCGTGAATGTCTGCGCATCTATTGCGCATCTGCAGCGGTACAGGGAGGTTAACAGCAGGGTGTCGGGGTGTATCAGTTACATGCCAGACCGTAGCGCTGATGGTTAGTGATAAACTGTTGGTGAGGGCCGTCCCTCTATTATATGGTCTCTGACTTTATGTATCAAAAACCAGATGATACAAATAGTCAAGTCTAGCTAGCTATTCCATTCAAATGAAATCAGATGTAGGCAAACAAGTTTTCTTAAACAGAGAAATATAGATGTAAGAAAAGATATAAAAGACTATGAGTTATTTAAGTAACCATTATTTTGTTGTTGATTCAACACTGCAGCAGCTGACCAAGGGAGATAACTCTAAAATCTGACACCCTACTTCCACAACCTCATATTTTACTCCACTGATTTAGTTAGATTCCACTTTATTTACATATAAAAGATAGCTATGTGATAATTCTCAAAGAACAAAGAAGAACGAAATGTGGTTTATTTCACAATAAAACATTGTTCTATCATGACGTTATTTCTGGAGATTCAAACAAATACTCGCAACCTGATGACGTCATGAATTGGACAACATTATTTTGGAGTGAGAAGCATCAAGTGAGTTGTTCCCAATAGATGTACCTAGCTGGGTAGCTGGGTAATACTGATGAATGCAATGGTCACATTAAAATTGTGAGAGATATGACAATCAGTATTGGGAGACAATTGGGAGAATATCCGTGAAATACCAAACTTAACTCTCCTGTTCACTAAATTTTATTTAGTGAGTCATCATTATATAAATATGGGTAATATTTGAACAAAGCTTGGACATTTTATGCACATCCTTAAAGTGTCTGTACAGAATGTTGATATCTGATATAAAAAATAAACAACAGCGCCCCTCATGGTTTATTCTCCCTGCAGTGTTTTATAGTATGATACTCCCACTCAACGTTTATTTCTTAAATATTCTTTCATCTCTTAACAATACAAAAACCACAACTAAGGAACCCATTTCCCCTGAAGATCATAACAAATACAAGCATTTGGCAACTATTTCATCTTTGTGAGGGTCCTCTGTTTTTCTCCATGTTCCACTATCTTCTCATCGACTTTCAGCCCTTTACGTTTGCGGACCTTGTTCATATACATGCGGGCTCGGTTGTCGGAGTCGGCCTTCTCCCCGAAGTGAGTGTACTCTTCTTCTGTTGTAGGTGTCCAAAACGGGTCGATGTCGAGCGTCTGAAAGGGAGAAAAATAAATAATAAACCTGTCACTGTATTACCCTATGTTGCATTAGGGTCCTGACAACCTCAGGTAAACCAAGTAACCAGCTCAACTTCAAAACCTAGGTTTTGAAATGGGTGACTTTTAAACCTGCTTTGAGGTTTTACATTTTAATTTTAATACATGTATGTAGGTTTAACAATTTACGTTTTATATACTTGCCTCTCGATATGAACACAATTGTATTTGATGATTGGTAAAAAGTCCCAAATCTTTTCTTTTCATGAAAATTCCATAACATAAATCAAACCTGCAACCTCACATACCATGTTAAGTTTTGTAACACACTGTTTTCCCACTGAGCTTCTGGGGCAGGTGATGAGAGGTTGTTCAATTTTACATGTCATGACTCTAGCTGGTCCATGCTGCACATGGTTTTTGTCTTGCACGCTTTGATCGAATTCCTTTTATACCGCGACACATTGTATTGTTTCAATAAAAAGTATGTCGATATTTTCTCATTTTTCTGGTATTTCTTGCATTTTGACGGTTCATAAGTCAGATATAACACACCTCCTTGGTTTTGGTTGAAATTGTAATACTGCACAGCAATAAACAATTGAAGGCAATTTCATTTACTCTGTACTGACACCTTGTCCTCAAATTACAACCTCATTTAACAATAGATGATATTTTTAATGCTGATGAGTTTTATAGAAAATCCCAGATTTCCTGAATGAAGGCAAGTGACTCTTGGGTTTGTATGTCATTAACACAGGCATTTACTTACATTATGTATGATGAATAAACACAGTACATGTACAGTGCACACTTTGGATGTGGCCACATGACTTGATCCAAGATGTCAGACAGTAGAAATGCTTATAACAAACTATTGATATAACAAACAAAAAACAGTGGTCCCTTTGAGTTTGTTATAACTGTAGTTTACTGTAAACAGGCAAATAATATGACTGACTAACTAGAACATAGTAAATCCAGAGTGGTTTGCATGGTCAAGCATGCCTTCCATCTTCCATTAGCCTTAAGAAACTAAATATCAGATTTTCATCCCTGCATTGATCCCAAATACCAACACACAAAATATATCTCTATGTGGACTTCCCTTTCCAGTTAACTTGATACACTCCAGGCATATGCTCTGTGTGACATGTTGACAATTATTGGAATTGATGAATTTGAAAAGCAACAAAAACAACAACAACAAAACAACACAGAACATTTTTGCAAAGATTACATGTAACTCTAATAATTAATTTACTGTGGTCATATGACTATCACATAATCCATGACATATACACATAGAAACAATCCCGTTGTTGGCAAGACTGCCATGGTAGATGCACCTACCTCCCAGTGACTGAAGGTCAGCTGTGGACTGGCTAGACCGCTGGTCTTCTTGCGGATGTCCTGAGCAAACCCAAAACTTTCAATGATGGGGAGCGTGGCTTCTACGCTGAAAATCTGTGTCCCTTCCCTCATCTCTTCGGACATCACTCGACCATTCCTCTTGCCCAGGACTGCATAGAGTTTACCTGGTGGTGGAAAATAAGGATGGGTTGTCATCATGGTCATGGAGACCACACCAACACTTCTTGTATGTTCAACACAAGTTAGAGCAGCTGATGTGCTTTTGGAGGGAATGGCTAGTTATTATGTAAACATTTTCGAGAGGACAAACATCCCAGGATTAAACCAGGACCTACTCTCACACAAGTTTGTATTTTGCATACTTTCTACCATGTTATTTGGGAGCTTATTTACTATGTATGTTAAGTATGTAAATATTTATATGTGATTATGATAATATTGATATGACCTGGCACATTCCAAGTATGGCCTTAAAGGAACATAGCACAACTACTTAACGTTGGTAATCTGTGTCAATACTTCATGGGCTTGTATATGTTCCTCCATCCAAGTGACTACACAAGTCGGCTATACTGTGTATATGGTGTAGTGCACTTCATGACCAACAAATCAACATAACCAGCTTCCAGCAAGAGGAAAGCCAGTGCCAGCTGATGGGATGCCAATGGGAGGGATATAAGAGGGAAGGCTACCAGCAAGATGGATGCCAGATAGAGGGATACCAGATAGAGGGATACTAGAGAGAGGGATGCCAGAGAGAGGGGTGCCAGATAGAGGGATGCCAGAGAGAGGGTTGCCAGCGAGAGGGTTGCCAGATAGAGGGGTGCCAGATAAAGGGGTGCCAGCGAGAGGGAAGTCAGCGAGAGGGGTGCCAGAGAGAGGGGTTCCAGATAGAGGGATGCCAGATAGAGGGGTGCCAGAGAGAAGGGTGCCAGTGGGAGGGATGCCAGCGAGAGGGGTGCCATATAGAGGGATGCCAGAGAGAGGGATGCAAGCGAGAGGGATGCCAGAGAGAGGGGTGCCAGAGAGAGGGATGCAAGCGAGAGGGATGCCAGAGAGATGCCAGAGAGAGGGGTGCTAGAGAGAAGGGTGCCAGCGAGAGGGGTGCCAGTGAGAGGGATGCCAGTGGGAGGGATGCCAGAGAGAAGGGTGCCAGAGAGAGGGGTGCCAGCAAGAGGGGTGCCAGTGAGAGGGAAGCCAGTGTGAGGGATGCCAAAGAGAATGGTGCCAGCGAGAGGGATGCCAGAGAGAGGGGTGCCAGCGAGAGGGATGCCAGAGAGAGGGGTGCCAGTGGGAGGGATGCCAGAGAGAAGGGTGCCAGCGAGAGGAACGCCAGCAAGAGGGGTGCCAGTGGGAAGCCAGATAGAGGGAAGCCAGTGGGAGGGATGCCAGAGAGAAAGGTGCCAGTAAGAGGGGTGCCATTGGGAGGGATGCCAGAGAGAGGGATGCCAGCGAGAGGGATGCCAGTGGGAGGGATGCCAGAGAGAAGGGTGCCAGTAAGAGGGGTGCCATTGGGAGGGATGCCAGAGAGAGGGATGCCAGCGAGAGGGATGCCAGTGGGAGGGATGCCAGAGAGAAGGGTGCCAGTAAGAGGGGTGCCATTGGGAGGGATGCCAGAGAGAGGGATGCCAGCGAGAGGGATGCCAGTGGGAGGGATGCCAGAGAGAAGGGTGCCAGTAAGAGGGGTGCCATTGGGAGGGATGCCAGCGAGAGGGATGCCAGTGGGAGGGATGCCAGAGAGAAGGGTGCCAGTAAGAGGGGTGCCATTGGGAGGGATGCCAGAGAGAGGGGTGCCAGTGGGAGGGATGCCAGTGGGAGGGATGCCAGAGAGAAGGGTGCGAATGGGAAGCCAGATAGAGGGAAGCCAGTGGGAGGGATGCCCGAGAGAAGGGTGCCAGAGAGAGGGGTGCCAGCAAGAGGGGTGCCAGTGAGAGGGAAGCCAGTGGGAGGGATGCCCGAGAGAAGGGTGCCAGTAAGAGGGGTGCCATTGGGAGGGATGCCAGCGAGAGGGATGCCAGTGGGAGGGATGCCAGAGAGAAGGGTGCCAGTAAGAGGGGTGCCATTGGGAGGGATGCCAGAGAGAGGGGTGCCAGTGGGAGGGATGCCAGTGGGAGGGGTGCCAGAGAGAGGGGTGCCAGAGAGAAGGGTGCCAGCGAGAGGGGTGCCAGCGAGAGGGATGCCAGAGAGAGGGGTGCCAGTGGGAGGGATGCCAGAGAGAAGGGTGTCAGCGAGAGGAACGCCAGCAAGAGGGGTGCCAGTGGGAAGCCAGATAGAGGGAAGCCAGTGGGAGGGATGCCAGAGAGAAAGGTGCCAGTAAGAGGGGTGCCATTGGGAGGGATGCCAGAGAGAGGGATGCCAGCGAGAGGGATGCCAGTGGGAGGGATGCCAGAGAGAAGGGTGCCAGTAAGAGGGGTGCCATTGGGAGGGATGCCAGAGAGAGGGATGCCAGCGAGAGGGATGCCAGTGGGAGGGATGCCAGAGAGAAGGGTGCCAGTAAGAGGGGTGCCATTGGGAGGGATGCCAGAGAGAGGGATGCCAGCGAGAGGGATGCCAGTGGGAGGGATGCCAGAGAGAAGGGTGCCAGTAAGAGGGGTGCCATTGGGAGGGATGCCAGCGAGAGGGATGCCAGTGGGAGGGATGCCAGAGAGAAGGGTGCCAGTAAGAGGGGTGCCATTGGGAGGGATGCCAGAGAGAGGGGTGCCAGTGGGAGGGATGCCATTGGGAGGGATGCCAGAGAGAAGGGTGCCAGTGGGAAGCCAGATAGAGGGAAGCCAGTGGGAGGGATGCCAGAGAGAAGGGTGCCAGAGAGAGGGGTGCCAGCAAGAGGGGTGCCAGTGAGAGGGAAGCCAGTGGGAGGGATGCCCGAGAGAAGGGTGCCAGTAAGAGGGGTGCCATTGGGAGGGATGCCAGCGAGAGGGATGCCAGTGGGAGGGATGCCAGAGAGAAGGGTGCCAGTAAGAGGGGTGCCATTGGGAGGGATGCCAGTGGGAGGGATGCCAGAGAGAAGGGTGCGAGTGGCAAGCCAGATAGAGGGAAGCCAGTGGGAGGGATGCCAGCGAGAAGGGTGCCAGAGAGAGGGGTGCCAGCAAGAGGGGTGCCAGTGAGAGGGAAGCCAGTGGGAGGGATGCCCGAGAGAAGGGTGCCAGTAAGAGGGGTGCCATTGGGAGGGATGCCAGAGAGAGGGATGCCAGCGAGAGGGATGCCAGTGGGAGGGATGCCAGAGAGAAGGGTGCCAGTAAGAGGGGTGCCATTGGGAGGGATGCCAGAGAGAGGGATGCCAGCGAGAGGGATGCCAGTGGGAGGGATGCCAGAGAGAAGGGTGCCAGTGGGAAGCCAGATAGAGGGAAGCCAGTGGGAGGGATGCCAGAGAGAAGGGTGCCAGTGGGAAGCCAGATAGAGGGAAGCCAGTGGGAGGGATGCCAGAGAGAAGGGTGCCAGTAAGAGGGGTGCCATTGGGAGGGATGCCAGAGAGAGGGATGCCAGCGAGAGGGATGCCAGTGGGAGGGATGCCAGAGAGAGGGATGCCAGAGAGAGGGGTGCCAGTGGGAGGGATGCCAGAGAGAAGGGTGCCAGTAAGAGGGGTGCCATTGGGAGGGATGCCAGAGAGAGGGATGCCAGCGAGAGGGGTGCCAGTGGGAGGGATGCCAGAGAGAGGGATGCCAGAGAGAGGGATGCCAGAGAGAGGGGTGCCAGTGGGAAGCCAGATAGAGGGAAGCCAGTGGGAGGGATGCCAGAGAGAAGGGTGCCAGTAAGAGGGGTGCGATTGGGAGGGATGCCAGAGAGAGGGGTGCCAGCTAGAGGGGTGCCAGTGGGAGGGATGCCAGAGAGAAGGGTGCCAGTAAGAGGGGTGCCATTGGGAGGGATGCCAGAGAGAGGGGTGCCAGTGGGAGGGATGCCAGTAGGAGGGATGCCAGAGAGAGGGATGCCAGAGAGAGGGGTGCCAGCGGGAGGGGTGCCAGTGGGAGGGATGCCAGTGGGAGGGATGCCAGAGAGAGGGATGCCAGAGAGAGGGGTGCCAGCGGGAGGGGTGCCAGCGGGAGGGGTGCCAGAGAGAGGGATGCCAGCGAGGGGGGTGCCAGTGGGAGAGATGCCAGAGAGAGGGATGCCAGAGAGAAGGGTGCCAGCAAGAGGGGTGCCAGTTGGAGGGGTGCCATCGAGAGGGGTGCCAATGGGAGGGATGCCAGAGAGAAGGGTGCCAGCAAGAGGTATGCTAGTGGGAGGGATGTCAGTTGGTGAGATGCCAGTTGGTGAGATGCCAGTTGGAAGGATGCCAGTGGGAGGGATGCTAGTGGGAGGGAGGCCAGCAAGAGGGGTGCCAGTTGGTGGGATGCCAGCAAGAGGGGTGCCAGTTGGTGAGATGCCAGCAAGAGGGGTGCCAGTTGGTGAGATGCCAGCAAGAGGGGTGCCAGTTGGTGGGATGCCAGCAAGAGGTGTGCCAGTTGGTGAGATGCCAGCAAGAGGGGTGCCAGTTGGTGGGATACCTGTTGGTGGGATGCCAGTGGGAGGGATGCTAGTGGGAGGGATGCCAGCAAGAGGGATGCCAGTTGGTGGGAGGGATGCAAGCAAGGGGGATGCTAGTGGAAGGGATGCCAGCTGTAAGGATGCCAGAGAGAGGGGTGAGTTGTGAATTGTGTATTGACATTAGCTGAAGACTTGGGCTGGTCACCACCACTGACAGCATGTATGTGTTCACTGGAGACGAAGGAACACAGTGCAGCCCGTGAAGTACTGACGACTGTTTATAAGGATACACAAAATGCTACGTCTCAGACAATCTCACATGGAGAACATATTGGTGTAGGCATGGTAACGAGGATGTTTCAGTTGGAAAGAAATGACTGGTGATCTAAATTTTATTTTTTATCTCCAGTTAGAAATAAAATTATTTCATGCTGGATGTTGTACTGATGTGAGAGGGCCTGACAAGCAAGTGTGTATGTTCTTGTGCCTTAGCTTACCGAGCACCTCTGTTGTGGCCTGTATCGTGCACTTGTACATGGCGACTGACAGCCTCTGTGGCTGAGCCTGGTATGCCCGGCGGCACCCATCTCTCATGCAAGACATCAGCTGACCAGAGAAGGGACCAAATGCGACTTGCTTCTGTTTGGATACATGAGAATCCTCCTCAGTTGAATCACAGTCTAGAGTTTCATCACAGTCTACAGCAGTCCTTGACCTAGAATTGACCTTGACCTCCCCATTGACCTGAGGTTGAGCTGAACGCTTAGTCCTAGATTTTAACGAGGTACCCTCCACAGTGACATAGTCCCACTTCTTCACCACAAAACACACGCCCACCATTGGCTCATCACACAGTGGCCCTGACAACGTAGCCATCTGGAACCCATTGACTACAGAACTGTCAAAGTTCCGACACTGCATGGAGCTCGTGGATTTCTCTATACTGCTCCAAACTGACGGTCTCTGGTAGCCTGGAATTCGGTTCAACAAAATATTGGGTCCATTCCTGCGAGGTCCAAAACTCCACATCTGATCAACAGCATCCTTCCAGAAGTCTCCGGCATGTTCAAATTCCTTTTTCAACTTTGCCTTCAAATCATTCAATGCTTCAATCGTTGCCGTGTTCATCTTAACTTCATTTTCGCATTCTGATTTATCATTGATTCTTGCAGTTGTGTTCTGGTCGAGAGTTTTTATGATTGTTGGGTGGTTATTCAAGAGACAGGTAACTGATTCCGGGAGGGGTGCAGCACGTACATGAAGCACACATTTCCTGTTGGATGTATAAACTTCTATCAAACCTTCCTCCAATGCATCTTCCTCCTTTTTTTCACTCTCTCTTGTAACAACAGATTTGATTGGCTGGTTTTGGTCCTGAATAGCCTCATTGACCCTGTCAATTTTGGGGGGTTCAATTATTGTCTCTCGAAAAGGAACAATGGGAGCAGACGCAGACACTTCAACCTTGGCATATCTGAAAGAGATGGGAATTCATCTCAGAGGTCACGGTACTTGATATACATAGTCCCCAAGACAAACAACAGCTTCTACTCCAAGAATTCTCAGTTATATATGAAAAGTACGTCTAAATTGAAAATTATTAAAAAAATGCTTTTCGACACTATTTTCTCAGATGGAACTTTGAAGCACTCTTGATGAGTTATCTCCCCTTAACCATACATACTGGCTGCTGGTTGAGGCAGTGTCCCTATGATACTGAAACATTTCCAACAAACTCCTCGACTCCACTCAAACTCACAATCCCAACTATAGATTCCTGTTTTTTTCCAATTACTTCAGGAGGACAACAATATGAACAAGCATGAAATACTCACACCCCCCGCCAGTATGACATGTCCGGTTGTGTGCAATGCATAGTTCACAGGGCCTTTTTGTAATGGCCTAATTGCAGCACTAAAAAAAGTTATTACTGGTGTTGTTTTTCCATCTGCAGTTTATGATAGAATATGTCACTGTATTTGGAATGAGTAAGGATGAGACAAATGGACAAACAACTTCTTCTAACAACAATTAGGAGCGATGGTTTCGGTGAAGGTTCTAACACCGTTATCAAGCAAGTGAGTATGGTTGACAAGAATATATAGTGTTTATACAGTTGAGTAGGTTTAAGATCAGTTACACTGTTGTATTTGTAATGAGTTGTGTTTCTGCATGAAGTTAGTCAGTGAATGCAACAACTGTGTCCATGACGCTTTTGGAGGATCATACACTCAAGCAATGCAGAACTTACCAACAAGAGAGGAAATGTATTCAATACTGTGAGATGACATTATGTGCCAAGTTTGGTGAAGAAATATGATAGTTTTCAAGATCTGCTCCGGAAACAATGACTACCGCCATTTTCAGCCCAAGTTAAAGTCGTTGCCATGGAAACTCAAAAAAATTATTTTTTAAAATCCCAAACTATCAAAAGGCACCAGTCCACCACAAGATCTATCTATGTGCAAAGTTTGGTGAAGAAATATGGTACAGTTTTCAAGATCTGGTCCGGAAACAAGGACTACCGCCATTTTCAGTCTAAATCAAAGTCGTTGCCATGGAAACTCACCTTTTTATTTTTTTAAAATCCCAAACTATCAAAAGGCACCAGTTCACAACTAGACCTATCTATGCACCAAGTTTGGTGAGGAAATATGGTACGGTTTTCAAGATGTGCTCCGGAAACGAAAAGTGACGGACGCAAGGACGGCACCCATTCCTATATCCCCCTTCCACTTCGTGGCGGGGAATAATAAATGCAGGCCTACGCCCAAGTCAGCAGCATTCCAGCTACATCCCAATGGCCTGTACACACATATAATCACATATGGAACAGACAAACCTGTGGCATGATCAGTAATCTGTTTCATATGGTGTAATCACTTGATCACTGAAATACGTTCAAGTATTACTTTTGAAAAATAAAATGGCACAGAAAGATTTGTAGGATTTGTACCAATCAATGAGTTTGACCTTGCGGACATCGATATCCATCTGTGCATGACTGTCTCACCTCTCTTGTGGGGCGGTCGGGTAGCCTAGTGGTTAAAGCGTTTGCTCGTCACGTCAAAGACCCAGGTTCGATTCCCGACATGGGTACAATATGTGAAGCCCATTTCTGGTGTCCCCCGCTGTGATATTGCTGGAATATTGCTAAAAGCGGTGTAAAACCATATTCACTCACTCACTCACTCACCTCTCTTGTAAATCCTCGATACACCGGTGCAGATGCACCTCCCCCGCGGTGATGATGACATGCTCCCCGGTCTCCTGAACCAGGACTTGAACACATGGGTCAGCCTGGTTCAACAGCTTCAGACCCTGTATCACAGCTGCCATGTCACCTACAGCAGCACAATACACACGTCATGTCACCTACAGCAGCACAATACACATGTCATGTCACCTACAGCAGCACAATACACATGTCATGTCACCTACAGCAGCACAATACACATGTCATGTCACCTACAGCAGCACAATACTCATGTCACCTACAGCAGCACAATACACATGTCATGTCACCTACAGCAGCACAATACACATGTCATGTCACCTACAGCAGCACAATACACGCATACACAATACAAACGTCATGTCACCTACAGCAGCACAATACACATGTCATGTCACCTACAGCAGCACAATACACACGTCATGTCACCTACAGCAGCACAATACACACGTCATGTCACCTACAGCAGCACAATACACATGTCATGTCACCTACAGCAGCACAATACACATGTCATGTCACCTACTGCAGCACAATACACACGTCATGTCACCTACAGCAGCACAATACACATGGCATGTCACCTACAGCAGCACAATACACATGGCATGTCACCTACAGCAGCACAATACTCATGTCACCTACAGCAGCACAATACACATGTCATGTCACCTACAGCAGCACAATACACACGTCATGTCACCTACAGCAGCACAATACACACGTCATGTCACCTACAGCAGCACAATACACATGTCATGTCACCTACAGCAGCACAATACACATGTCATGTCACCTACAGCAGCACAATACACATGGCATGTCACCTACAGCAGCACAATACACATGGCATGTCACCTACAGCAACACAATACACACGTCATGTCACCTACAGCAGCACAATACACATGGCATGTCACCTACAGCAGCACAATACACATGTCATGTCACCTACAGCAGCACAATACACACGCCATGTCACCTACAGCAGCACAATACACATGTCATGTCACCTACAGCAGCACAATACACACGCCATGTCACCTACAGCAGCACAGCACAATACACACGCCATGTCACCTACAGCAGCACAATACACATGTCATGTCACCTACAGCAGCACAATACACACGCCATGTCACCTACAGCAGCACAGCACAATACACACGCCATGTCACCTACAGCAGCACAATACACATGTCATGTCACCTACAGCAGCACAATACACACGTCATGTCACCTACAGCAACACAATACTCATGTCATGTCACCTACAGCACAATACACATGTCATGTCACCTACAGCAGCACAATACACATGTCATGTCACCTACAGCAGCACAATACACACGTCATGTCACCTACAGCAGCACAATACACATGTCATGTCACCTACAGCAGCACAATACACACGTCATGTCACCTACAGCAGCACAATACACACGTCATGTCACCTACAGCAGCACAATACACACGCCATGTCACCTACAGCAGCACAATACACATGTCATGTCACCTACAGCAGCACAATACACATGTCATGTCACCTACAGCAGCACAGCACCATACACACGCCATGTCACCTACAGCAGCACAATACACACGTCATGTCACCTACAGCAGCACAATACACATGTCATGTCACCTACAGCAGCACAATACACATGTCATGTCACCTACAGCAGCACAATACACACGTCATGTCACCTACAGCAGCACAATACTCATGTCACCTACAGCAGCACAATACACATGTCATGTCACCTACAGCAGCACAATACACATGTCATGTCACCTACAGCAGCACAATACACGCATACACAATACACATGGCATGTCACCTACAGCAGCACAATACACATGTCATGTCACCTACAGCAGCACAATACTCATGTCACCTACAGCAGCACAATACACATGTCATGTCACCTGCAGCAGCACAATACACATGTCATGTCACCTACAGCAGCACAATACACGCATACACAATACACACGTCATGTCACCTACAGCAGCACAATACACATGTCATGTCACCTACAGCAGCACAATACACACGTCATGTCACCTACAGCAGCACAATACACACGTCATGTCACCTACAGCAGCACAATACACATGTCATGTCACCTACAGCAGCACAATACACATGTCATGTCACCTACTGCAGCACAATACACACGTCATGTCACCTACAGCAGCACAATACACATGGCATGTCACCTACAGCAGCACAATACACACGTCATGTCACCTACAGCAGCACAATACACATGGCATGTCACCTACAGCAGCACAATACTCATGTCACCTACAGCAGCACAATACACATGTCATGTCACCTACAGCAGCACAATACACACGTCATGTCACCTACAGCAGCACAATACACATGGCATGTCACCTACAGCAGCACAATACACACGTCATGTCACCTACAGCAGCACAATACACACGTCATGTCACCTACAGCAGCACAATACACATGTCATGTCACCTACAGCAGCACAATACACATGTCATGTCACCTACAGCAGCACAATACACATGGCATGTCACCTACAGCAGCACAATACACATGGCATGTCACCTACAGCAACACAATACACACGTCATGTCACCTACAGCAGCACAATACACATGGCATGTCACCTACAGCAGCACAATACACATGTCATGTCACCTACAGCAGCACAATACACACGCCATGTCACCTACAGCAGCACAGCACAATACACACGCCATGTCACCTACAGCAGCACAATACACATGTCATGTCACCTACAGCAGCACAATACACACGTCATGTCACCTACAGCAGCATAGCACAATACACACGCCATGTCACCTACAGCAGCACAATACACATGTCATGTCACCTACAGCAGCACAATACACACGTCATGTCACCTACAGCAACACAATACTCATGTCATGTCACCTACAGCAGCACAATACACATGTCATGTCACCTACAGCAGCACAATACACACGCCATGTCACCTACAGCAGCACAGCACAATACACACGCCATGTCACCTACAGCAGCACAATACACATGTCATGTCACCTACAGCAGCACAATACACACGCCATGTCACCTACAGCAGCACAGCACAATACACACGCCATGTCACCTACAGCAGCACAATACACATGTCATGTCACCTACAGCAGCACAATACACACGTCATGTCACCTACAGCAACACAATACTCATGTCATGTCACCTACAGCACAATACACATGTCATGTCACCTACAGCAGCACAATACACATGTCATGTCACCTACAGCAGCACAATACACACGTCATGTCACCTACAGCAGCACAATACACATGTCATGTCACCTACAGCAGCACAATACACACGTCATGTCACCTACAGCAGCACAATACACACGTCATGTCACCTACAGCAGCACAATACACACGCCATGTCACCTACAGCAGCACAATACACATGTCATGTCACCTACAGCAGCACAATACACATGTCATGTCACCTACAGCAGCACAGCACCATACACACGCCATGTCACCTACAGCAGCACAATACACACGTCATGTCACCTACAGCAGCACAATACACATGTCATGTCACCTACAGCAGCACAATACACATGTCATGTCACCTACAGCAGCACAATACACACGTCATGTCACCTACAGCAGCACAATACTCATGTCACCTACAGCAGCACAATACACATGTCATGTCACCTACAGCAGCACAATACACATGTCATGTCACCTACAGCAGCACAATACACGCATACACAATACACATGGCATGTCACCTACAGCAGCACAATACACATGTCATGTCACCTACAGCAGCACAATACTCATGTCACCTACAGCAGCACAATACACATGTCATGTCACCTACAGCAGCACAATACACATGTCATGTCACCTACAGCAGCACAATACACGCATACACAATACACACGTCATGTCACCTACAGCAGCACAATACACATGTCATGTCACCTACAGCAGCACAATACACACGTCATGTCACCTACAGCAGCACAATACACACGTCATGTCACCTACAGCAGCACAATACACATGTCATGTCACCTACAGCAGCACAATACACATGTCATGTCACCTACTGCAGCACAATACACACGTCATGTCACCTACAGCAGCACAATACACATGGCATGTCACCTACAGCAGCACAATACACACGTCATGTCACCTACAGCAGCACAATACACATGGCATGTCACCTACAGCAGCACAATACTCATGTCACCTACAGCAGCACAATACACATGTCATGTCACCTACAGCAGCACAATACACACGTCATGTCACCTACAGCAGCACAATACACATGGCATGTCACCTACAGCAGCACAATACACACGTCATGTCACCTACAGCAGCACAATACACACGTCATGTCACCTACAGCAGCACAATACACATGTCATGTCACCTACAGCAGCACAATACACATGTCATGTCACCTACAGCAGCACAATACACATGGCATGTCACCTACAGCAGCACAATACACATGGCATGTCACCTACAGCAACACAATACACACGTCATGTCACCTACAGCAGCACAATACACATGGCATGTCACCTACAGCAGCACAATACACATGTCATGTCACCTACAGCAGCACAATACACACGCCATGTCACCTACAGCAGCACAGCACAATACACACGCCATGTCACCTACAGCAGCACAATACACATGTCATGTCACCTACAGCAGCACAATACACACGTCATGTCACCTACAGCAGCATAGCACAATACACACGCCATGTCACCTACAGCAGCACAATACACATGTCATGTCACCTACAGCAGCACAATACACACGTGATGTCACCTACAGCAACACAATACTCATGTCATGTCACCTACAGCAGCACAATACACATGTCATGTCACCTACAGCAGCACAATACACATGTCATGTCACCTACAGCAGCACAATACACACGTCATGTCACCTACAGCAGCACAATACACATGTCATGTCACCTACAGCAGCACAATACACACGTCATGTCACCTACAGCAGCACAATACACACGTCATGTCACCTACAGCAGCACAATACACACGCCATGTCACCTACAGCAGCACAATACACATGTCATGTCACCTACAGCAGCACAATACACATGTCATGTCACCTACAGCAGCACAGCACAATACACACGCCATGTCACCTACAGCAGCACAATACACACGTCATGTCACCTACAGCAGCACAATACACATGTCATGTCACCTACAGCAGCACAATACACATGTCATGTCACCTACAGCAGCACAATACACACGCCATGTCACCTACAGCAGCACAGCACAATACACACGCCATGTCACCTACAGCAGCACAATACACATGTCATGTCACCTACAGCAGCACAATACACACGTCATGTCACCTACAGCAACACAATACTCATGTCATGTCACCTACAGCAGCACAATACACATGTCATGTCACCTACAGCAGCACAATACACATGTCATGTCACCTACAGCAGCACAATACACACGTCATGTCACCTACAGCAGCACAATACACATGTCATGTCACCTACAGCAGCACAATACACACGTCATGTCACCTACAGCAGCACAATACACACGTCATGTCACCTACAGCAGCACAATACACACGCCATGTCACCTACAGCAGCACAATACACATGTCATGTCACCTACAGCAGCACAATACACATGTCATGTCACCTACAGCAGCACAGCACAATACACACGCCATGTCACCTACAGCAGCACAATACACACGTCATGTCACCTACAGCAGCACAATACACATGTCATGTCACCTACAGCAGCACAATACACATGTCATGTCACCTACAGCAGCACAATACACACGTCATGTCACCTACAGCAACACAATACTCATGTCATGTCACCTACAGCAGCACAATACACATGTCATGTCACCTACAGCAGCACAATACACACGTCATGTCACCTACAGCAGCACAATACACATGTCATGTCACCTACAGATCCTAAAGACCCGGGCTAGAATAGGTCTTCAGTAACCAATGCTTGACGAACTCGTGACTATGCATGTCGCAAGAGGCGACTAACGGGATAGGGTGGTCAGGCTCACTGACTTTTGGTTGATACATGTTATCGTATCCCAACTGCATTGATCGATGCGCATGATATCAATTACTGTATTGACGATTATTTACAGACTGACGTCATATAGCTGGAATGTTTCTTTAATCCTAATGCCTCCTAGTTTCCCAGCAGTCAGAGCTGACCTGGGTGAGCTGGTTCAATGGCCACTCTGACGATGGGATCGGCATCAAAGAACATCTCTGTGAAGGAAGGGCAAGCCACGGTCGATGAAATGGTGCCGGACTTCAAGATGTGGTCATCCAATCCCCCAATACCTGCAACACAGATACCACCAACTTACATTTAATACCTGAAAATTTCATTATGGAGCCAAATGGATTTGAAATGTAAGTTTCAGAATAACTAAAACTAACCCCAAATCCACTAAATCTGAAACTTTGAGTTCAAGAAATGACATATGATATATGAATACTTAAGCCATGTTTCATGTTTATAGGCAGAGTTGCCTGATAGGCCTTGCATGACCTGTAGAGATTGAATGACCTAGAGTGTTGCCCGTAGGGGCCATGCATGACCTGTAACTACAGACTAACCTAGAATGTTGCCCGTAGGGGTCATGCATGACCTGTAACTACAGACTGACCTAGAATGTTGCCCGTAGGGGTCATGCATGACCTGTAACTACAGACTGACCTAGAATGTTGCCTGTGAGTGTCATGCATGGCCTGTAACTACAGACTGACCTAGAATATTGCCTGTGGGATCTATGCATGACCTGTGACTACAGACTGACCTAGAATGTTGGCTGTTGGGGCCATGCATGATCTGTAAATACAGACTGACCTAGAATGTTGCCTGTGAGTGTCATGCATGACCTGTAGCTACTGACTGACCTAGAATGTTGCCTGTGAGTGTCATGCATGACCTGTAGCTACTGACTGACCTAGAATGTTGCCTGTGATGGCCATGCATGACCTGTGACTACAGACTGACCTAGAATGTTGCCTGCAGGGATCTCCTCCATCTCTTCCAGCTCGCGTCCCATGAACAGGTAGAGATCCTGGACTGTAAACCTGGTGATGTGCTGGCTGCTGGACAGGTCTCGCACTGTCATCCCTGGGGTTATCTCCCCTTCAAGGTCGGGCTGCAACATTCACACAGCTATACTGTACTCAACACTAGAGGTTTCATCTGATATATTCTTGAACTGAGTTATGGAGACAACTGAAGGTACATCTTAAATGTATTTTCAGTGAAAAGAAATCAGTATTCCAAAAAAATGTGTGACTTTTATCATCCTCCATGATAATACAAGAGATAGTACAAATCAAAAAAGGGAATTCCTAAGAGGGTGTGAGTGAGTTGGGTTTAACGCCGCTTTTAACAGTATTCCAGTTATATCACGGCGTGTCAGCTTAATGTGGGAGAAAAGCCTGAAGCGATGCAGGTCTCAGACTTTTACCACTTCGGTGAAACCCACGAGCACAGATATGGTGCTGACAAACCTAGAAACATAATTGGGGAGAACCAGGATTCGAACCCACAATCATAGGTTTCTGGTGTGCCCAAGGGACGCAACTCTGCACAGCGAATTGCGGCACCTTAGATGACTGGGCCACCCGTGCCCCTAATTCCTAAGAGGAAAGTTAATATTAACCAATAGCATGAAGTGAACACAGACCATATAGCACAAGCTGAATCAGCTTAGTTCCATGCACTTCTGTTTGCTTGGAAGCAGATGCTTGCCTCTAGCTTAAGTCATTGAGAAAGTGACACACACTTCCTGCTTTTAAAACAGGCAACCCCATTTTTCATGGCAGCCAAATTGATAACTCTTGACCAAATGGAGGTGTCACCATTGATGGGAACAAACCAGTGAAGTTACAGATGGTCCAGAGGTTTCTAGAGGAGATGATGTTTACAGATGCTGCTGATGCTGCCACGGGACAAGCAGACAAGGACATAAACTCCTTTAACTTTCAGTTAGGTGAGACGAACAGTATTAAGCAAACCATCTACAACTATAAAAGCATGAGCATGTGGAACTGGAAGCAACCCCTATCACTGTTTGTTCGCGAATTCCTCAAACCTTGTAACTCAGGAAATACATACGCCTCATGCAGAACCACTTTGAAAGAGCCCCATGGCTCAAGTATGCTTCTTATTATGCAGTGCAAATAAAACATTCTACAATAACAAGGCCCGAAGGAGAAGAAATTCAAAATGCTGCGCAACTTGCTGCTGAGTTCTATACCTTGTCAAGCACCTTCTCTGGGTCATGTTTTGGCCCCAGGACATACAATGTGCAGCCTTTCTTCACTGTGCCACTGAACACGCGAGCAAAGGCGACGAACACATGTCCATCCAGATCACTTGATGCCTCGACGTCATCAATGGCTACACCATTTGTAGCAGCTTCTGGAACTACAAAATGGAAATCCTAATTGAAGGAAAATCAGTAAAATCAGATCTCTACTTAAAATGCACAAATACATTCACCATTACCTAAATAAATTTTGAGTTGCTTTTATACAAGTAAGTTTTACACGAGGAACCTGTTACAATGTCTACACCTAGATCTGACATTGGCACCAGACCATGGATCATATTAACTCTTTAGGCTGGCCCAGCATTAGTAACACACTCTCTCTGATAGCTCTAAATGGTCTCCAAAAATGAGATTAAATTGTCCACCTTCTTCCAACGGTGTGTCCGTTGTCTTCTCTGACTCCTCTGTGCTGCAGTCTTCGGCAGATGCCATCTTCTCTGCATGTCTTTTCCTCGCGATGTCTCTCCTTATCTGCAGCTCTTCCTCTGTCAGAGGTCTGAAATATTATAAGACATATGAAGTCGACCCTCATTATCTTAAACGCTGTTATCTCGAATGTAATGATATCTCGAACCTGTTCTCGGCCTTACTTTGTTTGTTGTTTAACGCCACACTCAGCAATATTCCAATTATATGACGGTGGTCTGTAAATAATCAAGTCTGGACCAAACAATCCAGTGATCCACATCATGAACATTGATTACACAATTGGGATACCATGACATGCATCAACCAAGTCAGCGAGCCTGACCACCCAATCCTGTTAATCACATCTTACCACAAGCATTGTCGCCTTTTACGGTCCCACTAGGTTCAAGATAACAGGGTTTGACTGTACAATGCCTTGTTTATTTAAGGCACGATAAAGTTAAGAGTTAACTCTCATATTCATAAAAGCACACAGAAATTATCATCTTCAGTGTGGCTACAAAAAAACCAACCTGGTTCTAGAAAATAATAATTAAAATTATATGATAAATCACTTGTGACTGTGTGGCGATGCGTGACTGTGTGTGACTGTGTATGATGGTACGTGACTGTGTGTGATGATGAGACAGTGTGTGACAACGTGACTGTGTGTGACTGTGTGTGACGATGGTGTGACTGACCTCTGTTTGTTGTGTGGCAGCTGCCGCCTCTCTACAGGGAACATCTTGGACACAAACACGATCACAGGAGTGTCTGTCGTCGGGTTACATGACAAGAAATCTGAACAGAGAAAGACGAGTTCTGTTGACATAATAACTACACAAAGTCCACTGCTGTATTGTGAGAACCACTGAATACCTTACACAGAAATAGTCAATATCAATATGTAGTTCACATAAAAGGGACCTCTCAGTATCAAGCTGAATCAATCTGGTCCACAAATTCAAATAAATATTCAACCAAGTCAAATATCTTACAATCCAAATAGAATGTCCCCGTAAAAAAAAAAGTACAACCACCATTCAGAGCTGTTAGAGTGACACAGTTAATAGACATGTACCACATAAACCAAGAAACCTATGACCTTGGCCCTGGAATGGCAAAGGGACACAACTGTGCACCTTTACCCACTAGCCACCCACTCTCTTCTGAGTGAATGTTGTGTGGTCCTGCTGTCTGCTATAATCCAGCTATATCAGAAAAGCCTAAACACAATCAGCGCACAATGGCGTACAAACAGCCAGGTCACAATCTGTTACCACCTTATTCTCAATGGTTTGGGGTAGATGGAGCTATTCGACCAAGTTATCTCCCCTTGCTGACTGACCACAGCTGGCCCTTGACTTTGTTCACACGACTCACGTGGCTTCAGATGTTGGGTCTGCTCTGGCAGGGAGTCAAATCTCTGTGAGTGGCTGCACATGAGTTTCTCCACTCGCTCCTCCGTCATCTGTAGCGGGGACGGCAGTGTGTCCACTACCACAGCTGCAACAGGGACATCAGTGCTACTCAGCAAGGAAGCACACTTGGTTTAAGCAGGTAAAATGATATCTAACCAGTTTCTGTGCAGTGTTGACAGTGAAGATGACATTGAAATGTCTTCTTTGAAATGCCCCACGTAAAATGTATCAACTCAAATGGACTGTTATGAAAACAAAATTTGTCAGACAAAAGACCATTATAAGATTAACTTCTACTTGTCAATACTTGTTTGTGATAACTTTTCACATCCCCCCCTCAACCCCTCTACAATAAATGACCAGTCCATAAGTTAAATTGTAAATTTTCTAACAACAAAACAAACAAAAAATTCTCTGTTCAAGAATAACGTCCGAACACCATAGCGATAGAATTGAGAATGAGGGTGCTGGATATGTCAGGTGAGGTCGCTGGGGTTGTGTCGCACGGGATTTTGGTGGTGCTTGAGCCATGATCACAGTGATATGTGGGATGTGTTTGGGTGAGTGGTGTTTTTGAAGTTGGAAACTTTGTTCTAGGACGTTTCCACACCAAGATCGAAGAATTAGAGGAAATGCATAGTGTGAGATAGGATAAGTTTAAAAATTTATATTCTTAGCTGAATCATGGGGTTTAGGAGAGTTAATTTTAGCGCCCCACCTGAAAAATGACCCCCTTTCAAAGTCAAATGACACAAATTAAATTCAAAGGACTTTTGTCTCAATAAAGCAGAATACCAAGTTTATGTTAAACACAGTGTAAGTACTGGGTGCTGTTGTACAAAGCGATCTTAGCGCTAAGGTGATCAGAACTCCCATACCTTAACACTGACTTACGACAGTCATAGTGCTAAGGTTGTTTTGTACAACGGCACCCTGGTCTTACAGGGGTCATGGTATGAGTGCACATCCATATTTCTGAACCAGTAACAAACAATGGGGACCGAAAGCATGTGATTGAGACATACCTAGAACTGCTGATGAGACAGGAAGCCACTGAGATGTGACTGCCTGTAGATGTACGCGAGGGTCGTTGTGTTTGGCATCTCGGGCCAACACCTTCAGTTTCAAAGATTTCACAATCTTGTCCGTCTTCTCCTTGTCCCTGGAATCAAATACATATCCACTAGTATTTAAAGACTATGTCACAGTCATATGCTTCTTTTACAGTTCTGACGAGAGTATGGAAGGTTTGACACTAGAGCTAGAGATGTCATGATACAGGTGTCACATGAAATGATACATATCTTGATACAGAAGCCACGATATGACAAGAATCTTGATACTGCATCTACAGCATTTTGTGTGGAAAACCCAGTTATTAGACTGAGAATAGAGTCCATAGACTTGCTCATGAAGGAAAAGACAGACAATATAATACTAATACCCATCGACATGAGACTGAATCAAATCAACTATTCTGTATGAGAAAATAATAAGAAACAAGCAAGTTTATGTACTGTATTGTGACAGGGAGGAAGGAAAAGCTGGTCAGTCTAATTATCGGACGGGTTTCGTATCCAAAAATTGACCAAGAAAGTTTAATTAAAGGAATTAAGAAAATTGTTTATACTTGCTTATAGATATTGATGTGAGATCACCATGGACAATCGATATGGGGTTAAACGATCATTGATGCCAAATTAAGTGTATTGGGTATCGTATTATGCAAAGTTAGCCGATGATGCACCAGTGGCCCGGTGAATCGCGACATCACTACTAAGTGCCTCCTCCACCAGTGTACCAGGGAATCGCGACATCACTACTAAGTGTCTTCTCCACCAGTGTACCAGGGAATCGCGACATCACTACTAAGTGCCTCCTCCAGCAGTGGCCCGGTGAAAAGCGACATCACTACTAAGTGCCTCCTCCACCAGTGGCCCGGTGAATCACGACATCACTACTAAGTGTCTTCTCCCCCAGTGTACCAGGGAATCGCGACATCACCACTAAGTGCCTCCTCCACCAGTGGCCCCATGAATCCCGACATCACTACTAAGTGCTTCCTCCACCACGGTACCGGTGAAACGCAACATCACCACTAAGTGCCTCCTCCACCAGTGTACCGGAGAATCGAGACATCACTACTAAGTGCCTCCTCCACCAGTGGCTCGGAGAAACGCGACATCACCACTAAGTGCCTCCTCCACCACGGTACCGATAAATCGCGACATCACTACTAAGTGCTTCCTCTACCAGTGTACCGGTGAAACACGACATCACCCCTAAGTGCCTCCTCCACCACGGTACCGATAAATCGCGACATCATTACTAAGTGCCTCCTCCACCAGTGGCCCGGGGAATCGCGACATCACTACTAAGTGCCTTCTCCACCAGTGGCCCCATGAATCCCGACATCACTACTAAGTGCTTCCTCCACCAGTGTACCGGTGAAACGCAACATCACCACTAAGTGCCTCCTCCACCAGTGTACCGAAAAATCGAGACATCACTACTAAGTGCCTCCTCCACCACGGTACCGATAAATCGCGACATCACCACTAAGTGCCTCCTCCACCAGTGGCCCGGGGAAACGCGACATCACCACTAAGTGCCTCCTCCACCACGGTACCGATAAATCGCGACATCACCACTAAGTGCCTCCTCCACCACGGTACCGATAAATCGCGACATCACCACTAAGTGCCTCCTCCACCAGTGGCCCGGGGAAACGCGACATCACCACTAAGTGCCTCCTCCACCACGGTACCGATAAATCGCGACATCACCACTAAGTGCCTCCTCCACCACGGTACCGATAAATCGCGACATCACTACTAAGTGCCTCCTCCACCAGTGGTCCGGTGAATCACGACATCACTACTTAGTGCCTCCTCACCTTGAGATGACTATGGAATCATACACAGCCCAGATCTGTTCCAACACAAACTGTACAAACAATGGCTTCTTCCCTTTAGACTGAAATACAAGAAAGATCCATTTGGTGCAAATCCATGTAATTTTCTCACAAAGTACAGCAACAGGCATCACACACATCTGCTTGAAGCATAAATTTCATTTGAACCATAGCGTTTCTTTGCTGCTTGTTCCACCATAAATAGGTACTACAGCTGTCCCATAATCTTAGTACATATCTCATGTTGAAATGTCTCACAATCTGAGTACATATCTCATGTTGAAATGTCTCACAATCTGAGTACATATCTCATGTTGAAATGTCTCACAATCTGAGTACATATCTCATGTTGAAATGTCTCACAATCTAAGTACTTATCTCGTGTTGAAATGTCTTACAATCTGAGAACATATCTCATGTTGAAATATCTCACAATCTGAGTACAAATCTCATGTTGAAATGTCTCACAATCTTAGTACATTTCTCATGCTGAAAAGTCCCACAATACACTGTATTAGTACATATCTCATGTTGAAATGTCTCACAATCTTAGTACATTTCTCATGCTGAAAAGTCCCACAATACACTGTATTAGTACATATCTCATGTTGAAATGTCTCACAATCTTAGTACACATCTCATGCTGAAATGTCCCACAATATTAGTACACATCTCATGCTGAAATGTCCTACAAAGGGAATCATCTGTTACACCATAGTCAGCTTATTACAGCTACATCATGGCGGCCTATAAACAAACAAATCTGGACCAGGCAGAACAAAGCTTGACTGAACAAGGACTGATCGACACCTTATTAACCACCTGATCACCCCAGGGGTCCGGAAAATTTAAAATCCCAATCGGACATTTGCATTTAGGCCACGCCCCCTTCAAATAGCGTATTTTAGTACGACTTTTCACACACATTACAATTTTACGTATTCATAATGATGAATTATGAATTGTTTCAATTTAAATTGTTTAATTCACTGGACAATTAATAACAAATAATATCATTTTAGATTTACATGGAAAACATACGTTTGTTTCTGTTATAATAACGATCTGTTAACGTAGTGAACGGTCTAATTAATATTCATGAGTTATATTCATGAGTCTGCTCAAGTGTACGCGTTGTAACATTTGGATCGAGACTATTATCCCATATTTGGTTATCACGTGACCTCACGGGAAAAGTTTTTTTTTAAACTAAAGATTTTTTTAAAAAACAAGACAGATAATTTAATCACAAATACTAAAATATTGTTGATAGCAATAGTTATTTGAATACTTTTTTCATCTGTACTTAATTATTGACCATAAAAAAATTGGATATCGATCGTCCGAGAAAGCAAAATGGCGGTCAATCAAGATTCAATATACGACTAGCTACTGAAAACAATAAAATCTGCAAATCCTCATTGTATGTCAACCAAGTGAAAGTCCTTAGCCACGACTTACAAAATGATCGTCCAGACTTTGAGGGTTTGGCAGATCCGCTCGACTGATCTGCATCGGTCGACTGGCTGTTGTCACGCTTTCGCTTCTTGTCTGAGGTTATGTATCGTAGCATTGTGAGGATAATGAGGTACATCGATGATGCAAGGTATTAATGTACAGTTGTAAACACCTTTCACTCAAATTAACAAGATGTTCTCAGTAATTAATCCTCGATTAATCAGTGTCAACTCAGTTTATTGCCTATTACAGTGATTGACCGATTGGACTATCATGTAGGTACGATGTATTTACAGCAATCAAAACAAACAAAGCTTGTCAGTGTAGTTAATCTTCATTGTGTTGCAACTGCAGACAGAAACTGCTCAGTCCTAACTGTTGATCATGTCCGGTCAAAATTTAAGAATGTCTGGACAATACTTTTTAAAATGTCCGGTAAGCAATATTTTAAAACGGACATTTGAGATTCCCAATCAGACATGTACGGTGCATATGACGGTTTCCGGACCCCTGGATCACACATTGTAACCATGGTAACCACCCAAATCTCATTGGTTAAACAAGTACATGGGACCTATCTTTTCTATGAACTCTTATGAGGCCCACTCACAAAGACTAAACTTGAAATCCCCATCTTCCCGAGGCAAGGGCGTTAACTGACCATAAAAGTCCAGTTTCCACCCTTGCTGAACTAGGCTGGAATTCCAGAGTCCATGCATAGTCCAATCAAATTCGTGTAAGAAACTAGACATCTGGTTTTTAAACAACATGGATGTGCAGATTTTGGTACATCGCCGTATTTGTAGAATTTTCCTATTCGGAATATTCTATAAGTAATACGTTACCACTGTTATACCGAGGCTGTTGTCTCCCACAACTGCTGCTATAGCGAAATCTACCACAGAGATCTCAATTACCTCATGCAGCACGTGCGTAGCCACCCAGCTGCCATGTGACACATGGCGAGAGCAAGTGCTCGGGGGACGGACGGACGGGCAGCAGCCCAGTGGTAACGTATTACTTATAGAATATTCCGAATAGGAAAATTCTACAAATTACATTAAGTAATACGTTACCACTGTTATACCGAGGCTGACTACCACAGTAGGCGGTGGGGAGCACCTACAACCCGAATCCTGACTGCTAGCGTTCCTTCCGACCAGCGGAAGTAAACACCAAGGCGGAAGCACTCGATGCGCATGCACCTAGCTAGGCGTTACCCTATAGGAATACCAAAGCACTGTCAAGCGCATACCGTAAGGCTCAATCGTCATTGCCAAAACGATTGGTGACTCCAAACGGCCCCACTGGATAGGTATTTCATCGCCGCAGCGGATGAGAACACTGTATCCGCGTGAGCTTAATCTTAGATCAGGTTAAACAGTCGAAAAGAGGGAAATTAATTTCATTCAGACCGTATATCCCAGAGCAAGCCTACTTAAAGTATGCATTAGGCGCGTGACCTAATTCCAGTATTTGTAAGCATGCATCACAAGGTTGGGATACACGACAGACAATTAAAGACATAATTGTCAAAATACAAATAAGGACAAAGCACACAAAAAGCCGCCCTCACCTGTGGTGTGAGTGCGCTGGTTTGCGGGACCCCAACTCCTGTACCCACGGCAGTGGGAACATTGGAGTAGACCCAGATTGACCACCGTGCAAGGTCAGACGCCTGAGGAGTTCGGAATTGCGCTGGGCACACCCCTTAGGTGCCCGCTTGCGCCGCGATCCGCGGGCCAAGACGGTGCACACTCTCCACGACGGCATCAGCGACCTGTTTGAGGTAATGATTGGCAAAAACCGAGTCAGAACGCCAGTAACAACCTCGTAATATTCTGCGAACAGAGATATTCGAGTGTAGGGCAAATGTTGCCGCTAGCGCCCTGATCTCGTGCGGGTTTGACCCCGCTACCGGTAACCCCCGAGACCGGTACGCCAGATTGATGACAGAACGAAGCCACAACGCAATCGAGTTGCGAGGTATGTCAACCGTGCGATTAGGGTTACACGATATGAACAGACGGTCACGCCCTTGTCTACGTTCATTCGAAGCCTTAAGATAATACTTAAGGGCCCTAACCGGACACAGCGCTCTGTCCTCAGTATCAGCAGGATGTAAGATTTCTTTGAGTGATCTTACAGTGAATTCTCTCTCCGTTTGCCCGACTCTCTGATTCTTGGCGACGAAGCCCATGAGCAGGCCCAGGCGGACCGCTCCTTCGTCACCCCTATCGAATCGTACCTTGGCGACATCGAGTGCATGAATTTCGGATACACGTGCCGCCGTGGCAAAGGAGAGGAGAAATGCTGTTTTCCAAGTCACATGCCGGAACGAAGCACTATGCAAGGGTTCATACGGAGCTTCCGTAAGTGATTGCAACACTAGGGAAAGATCCCAGGCCGGTGCCCGAAGGCGGCCCTTCTTAAGATCGTGCTGTTTGAAACCCTTGATAATACCCCGTATCACCGGCTCTTTGGAGAGACTGGTACCCATAGCAACGTCCCGTACCGTAGCAACGGACGAGACATAGTTGGCAATGGAACCCCCGGAGAGTTTCCGGGTCTCTCACAAGTGAGACATGAAACGAGCAATATCCTGCACAGATACCTTATCTGGCGAATGAATGTGATGTTTACAACACCACTTCGTGAAAATAACCCAACGTGCATTATACACCTTCTGGGTAGAATCACGATGCATACTAACGTATGCCCGAGACGCCCGGCGAGAAAAAACTTTACTCCTCAGACGCTCGGTGACAACATCCACGCGTGCAGATTGAACTGCCCTGCGTTTGGATGAAGCTGACGGGTGTGAGGGTGGATCAAGAGATCCGGTCTCACAGGCAGTGGAAGTGGCGACTGCGTGACCTGGGTCAGCAAGTCGGGGTACCACGATCTGTTCGGCCACATGGGCGCGATCAGTAACATTCGACAGCGAACTCCTCGGAGCCGGCTTAGAATGTGTGGTATCAACGCTGTCGGCGGGTAAGCATAAGCGACCAAGCCCGTCCAGTCTAACGCGAGAGCATCGTGATCGATGGCCCTCGGGACCGGGACATGTGATACAAACAACGGGAGTTGATTGTTGAACCGCGTTGCGAACAGGTCGACCATCGGACGACCCAAACGTTCGCACAGCCACTGAAACACTACTGGGTTCAGCATCCACTCTGTGGGGCTTGGATCCTGAGGCCTCGATAGAGCATCGGCCAGTACGTTCCGCACACCTGGGATGTGACGGGCGCGTATCTGGCACGGGACACTGTCCACCAGAGCGTAAAACTCGAACGTGAGATCGAGTAGCGAGTGACTGTGGGTTCCCCCCAGTTTGTTCACATAGGACACTACCGTCGTGTTGTCGGTCGCCAGCATGAGCCGGGCGTCGACGAGACGATGCTTCCAGTGATTGACTGCGTTGATCACTGCCTTGAACTCGAGACAAGTGATGTGAAGACCTAGTTCGTCTAAGCACCACAGCCCCGAGCTCACCTCCCCCTTTAGATTGGCGCCCCAGCCCACTAGAGAGGCGTCTGTATACAGGGTCAACGTGGCCCGGTAGGGCCGCATAGAGACTCCTGATAAGACAATGTAAGGGACCGTCCACCACTCCAGATGCGGTCGGAGCCGATCCGGGAGGGCGATGGTCGCACTGTTCACCTCCGTTGCTAACAACTGGATTAAAAACCGTTGCAGCGGGCGGAGTTGGAGACGACCCCGTGCGGTGCAGTCCTGGGCTGATACAAGTAGCCCTAACAGCTGTTCCCAAAAGTGAACAGTCTGTTGCACCGCTAAGACTTTGGCAATCATCGCCTGAATTTTGTGCCACCGGTCTGGGGGGACAAAGAGGCGATGGGACACCGTGTTGAACCGACCTCCGATGAACAGCAAGTTCTGAGAAGGGGTTAACTCGCTCTTGGGGAGATTGATAATCCACCCAAATTGCTCCAAGAGCCAACGTGCGAAATCGAGATGGCGTGACAGGGTGTCCGTCATTCGATTTGCTACTAGCGAGTCGTCCAGGTACGCGAAGTACCGGACACCCCTCCTGTGGAGGAACCCCACTATGGGGGTGGTTAACCGGGTGAACAGCCAGGGAGCGGACGTGTGAATCATTCTGAGTTCGGCACTGTCCTACTTGGGAACGAGAAATATCCTGGAGTAAAACCCCGGTGTTATTTCTGGTAGAGCTAACTCCCGTACTGCCCCTTCTCCACCAACCTGCCGATGGCATCGGCGAGGATGGGAAGATCGGTTTCCGAATCGAAACCTGCCAACGGGGCAACGGTGAGCGGCGGATTCGCTTTGAGATCAAGCCGATAGCCGTACCGAATCGTGTTGACCACCCACGGGTCGTCGAACACTTGTTCCCAATTCTCCCAGTAAGTCTGGAGTCTGGCTCCCACTGGGGAAGGAGAGGGGGCCCTGACAGGTTGCGACAGGCGCAACTGTCCAGGGCCAAGTGACTCGGGTTCGCCTAAGGGCCAACCGAAGTTGGCATACGAACCCCTCCAATGAGAGTCACCTGGAGGGGCCTTGCCGTCCGTCGACGACTTGGGCTTCCCCCAGTTCCCCGTCTTCCCGCGAAAGGGCAGCTGATTGCCCATACCAGAGCCCTCAGGGCGGGGCTACTTCCCAGAGGAAGAAGAACCCGACCCCTTAGACCTACCGGCCGCAGCAGCCTGGGGCGCGCTCCGGTTAGGAGCGGCACCCAGGCGCCTATGCAGGGACCCAACAAGAGCAAGTGTGTGCCGAGAGTCCTCGGCAACGTACTCCAGGGAAGCATTTAAACTGAGCAGGCAGTTGTAAATGCGCTGGTCACGGTCCGTGGGAGAACCTTCGACCAGACGGGCCGCTGCAGCCAAGTAAGTGTCTCCGTGAGACATGGAGTGCCGAGCGAGGGCGTCCAGCTGGTGCAAGGTAGCTTGCGTTACCGTAGCAGCCGGTGGGGCACGGACACCCAACCGCTCAACATGGGCCTCCGCGGTAGGACCAGCCTCGGGAAAGGCAAGGTCATGTACCGGGAATAAACCCTTTCTCCACGACGTCGGAGGCAACGGGAGACCCCGACCGGAGGCCGCCGCGAAGGCGTTCTCCAAGGAAGGCTTGAAACCGCGCAGCAAGGTTGATGCGGGGAAAGCCGTGTCGGAAGACTCATCGTATACCTCGGAGGAACCCACAGTCGTGGATTCCCCGCGGTACCGGCCGGGGCATGTCCTCAAAGAGGTCATAAACCATGGCCACGCGGTCCTAAACCGATAGCGGGAGCAACGGTTCGGGGGAAGGACCGGTGACCACGGGAGCCGCCGCCGTACCGGTGGACCCCGCGTCCGACCCCGCGGCCACCGAAGTGGCCGGGGACGGAACAGCCAGCGGCCTATCCTGAGATAACGCCGCCAGCTTGGAGTCCACAAGTTATGCAAGTAATGCAGCGACGGAATCCCCGGACAGCACACGGGCCGCCAAGAGATCCGCCGCTTTACCGGTGGACCCCGCGTCCGACCCCGCGGCCACCGAAGAGGCCGGGGACGGAACAGCCAGCGACCTATCTTGCGATAAGGCCGCCAGCTTGGAATCCACAAGTTTCGACAACAATGCGGCGACGGAATCCCCAGACAGCCCAAGGGCCGCAAGGGGATCCGCCGCAGCCGAGGAGGTGGTACCCGCACGGGGACCCCGACCGGACGAACCGGCCACCACAGGGGTGGAGACGGACTGTACGTACAGCCGGTACCGCTCAAAATCCGCAGGCCCCAGACCTTCGCACAGGATGCACCGGGTGTCCCCGCAAGGAACCCTGCACCGCGGGCAACGATCGTGGGGATCCCGGGACGACAAAAACTTTCTGCACACCCCATAACTCCGAGGAGCAGGGGTAGAGGGGGTGGATACTGGGGACATATCCATGTCAGACATTGATTGTTTGCTATAAACAAAGAACAAAACATGGTTACAACGCACGCACCACAATGATTCACAAACGAACATTTTCACAAGAAAATAAACGAGCAATGTGAACATATAACATACACATATAACTTTTATTAAAGAAATAAGTTATGTTAACCCCCAAAACATACAAGAACAGGGGAAACGTAAAACACAACGTGCATACGCGAACCCCGCAAGTATATAGAAAAAAGGGCGGGAAAATTATAACCAAGCGTAGCTACCGCAACGCCCCATAAAAGCACAGTTTATTAGAGAATAAACTATAATAAATATCACCAAATCTTCAAGGAACGCTTCAGCAGGAGAAAACACGTCTTGCTAAGCAGACGAAGGAGACAAGAGTGAAGGGTGTCACATGGCAGCTGGGTGGCTACGCACGTGCTGCATGAGGTAATTGAGATCTCTGTGGTAGATTTCGCTATAGCAGCAGTTGTGGGAGACAACAGCCTCGGTATAATAGTGGTAACGTATTACTTAATGTAATTTGCAAAGTATGTGTACCACAAACTGGAAGTAGACAGATATTTTTTCCAAATCTTTTCTTGTTTTTAATCATGGTGCTCAAGTGATTTGATGCACTCCACGCTATAAGACCCGTTTTATTAAAATACAGATCTTCATTATAAAACAGATCATCTTGACCGCCATTTTGTTTAGAGCAAATGCAAGTGATATGAGAGATGAAATCTGATTGGTCCACAGAAAGAACATGGAAGGGTCATAACTCGTAAATGCTATTGGTGGCGCTACGATCAAGCCTGGAAATATCAGCCTAGTTTGGCAAGGGTGGAAACTGGAATCAGTTAACACCCTTGCCTCAGGAAGATGGAAATCTCCAGCAACACTCAAATAATCATAAAATGTACACATTTCCCACGTGACCACATACCTGAGCACCTTTCATGACTCTCTTGTTCTTCACATTGAGATAGTAGTCCCCCCAGAGCGTCTTCTGTAGAACTTTGTGGCTCATCCCCAACTTCTGGGCCCACAGCTCAGCAAAGTGAGAGATTCTGAAAGATGGATTCCCTCTACAGTCAACTCCTACACAACAGACTGGTAGCTAGTATTATTCATACTGGTGCAACACAATCCACACTACAGGATTTAACTATTTTGCAATAATACTAGTAAAGATCTTTGAAAAGATCTGTTTGATTGCCACTATTAACACTGCTGCCCAACACATGTGATTAGTTTTGAGTGAATGAGTGAGTGAGTTGGGTTCAATGCCGCTTTGAACAGTATTTCAGTTATCGATGGTTATATCACGGCATGTTAGCTTAATGTGTGAGGAAAGCCCAAAGTCATGTAGGTATCAGACATTTATGAAACTCATGAGAATGGGTATGGAGCTGACAAAGCTAGAAACAGAACTGGGATTTGAACCCTTGATCATAGGTTTTGGGCGTGCCCAAGGGACACAACCATGCACAGCGTCGACTTGGCCACCCATGCAACCTGATTAGTTTTGAGAGTTCAATTGAAACCTACAACTTGAGACAAGCATCCCTACCTAAATCCCCAGCCGTCTAGTGCGCTGGCGAACACAACGTTGTCCTGGTCCGGGGAGAAGTAGATGTTCTTGTTCTCCATATTCTCATCTTCATCTTCCAGCGTGGTCCAGTCGTAACACTGAAAATATAGGGAGGGATGTTACCAAGGTTATTCCAGTTGTAACACTGAAAATATAGGGAGGGACGTTACAAGAGTGGTCCAGTCTGAACACTGAAAATATAGGGAGGTACGTTAACAAGGGTGGTCCAGTCATAACACTGAAATATAGGGAGGACAGTTGACAAGGGTGGTCCGGTTGTAACACTGAAATATAGGGAGGACAGTTAACAAGGGTGGTCCAGTCATAACACTGAAATATAGGGAGGACAGTTGACAAGGGTGGTCCACTTGTAACACTGAAAATATCTGGAGAAATGTTCACAAGGGTGGTCCAGTCAAAACACTGAAATATAGTGAGGGCCAGTAAAAAGGGTGGTCCATTCATAACACTGAAATATAGTGAGGGCCAGTAACAAGGGTGGTCCAGTCAAAACACTGAAATAAAGTGAGGGCCAGTAACAACGGTGGTCCAGTCATAACACTGTAATATAGGGAGGACAGTTGACAAGGGTGGTCCAGTTGTAACACTGAAATATAGGGAGGACCGTTATCAAGGGTGGTCTAGTCAAAACACTGAAATAAAGTGAGGGCCAGTAACAAGGGTGGTCCAGTCATAACACTGAAATAAAGTGAGGGCCAGTAACAAGGGTGGTCCAGTCATAACACTGAAATAAAGTGAGGGCCAGTAACAAGGGTGGTCCAGTCAAAACACTGAAATAAAGTGAGGGCCAGTAACAAGGGTGGTCCAGTCATAACACTGTAATATAGGGAGGACAGTTGACAAGGGTGGTCCAGTTGTAACACTGAAATAAAGTGAGGGCCAGTAACAAGGGTGGTCCAGTCAAAACACTGAAATAAAGTGAGGGCCAGTAACAACGGTGGTCCAGTCATAACACTGTAATATAGGGAGGACAGTTGACAAGGGTGGTCCAGTTGTAACACTGAAATATAGGGAGGACCGTTATCAAGGGTGGTCCAGTCATAACACTGAAATATAGTGAGGGACAGTAACAAGGGTGGTCCAGTCAAAACACTGAAATAAAGTGAGGGCCAGTAACAAGGGTGGTCCAGTCATAACACTGTAATATAGTGAGGGCCAGTAACAAGGGTGGTCCAGTCATAACACTGAAATATAGAGAGGGCCAGTAACAAGGGTGGTCCAGTCAAAACACTGAAATAAAGTGAGGGTCAGTAACAAGGGTGGTCCAGTCAAAACACTGAAATATAGTGAGGGCCAGTAACAAGGGTGGTCCAGTCATAACACTGAAATATAGGGAGGACCATTATCAAGGGTGGTCCCGTCAAAACACTAAAGAAACACTGGAGGATAACACTTCAGTTAAATCCTATGCTATCAAGATAAAACTAAAAAAAAATAATATTTTATTCCTAAACTCTGAGACTGGGCTTAACTCTAAAAAGACATCAACAGATGTGCCCACTGACTCACCTGTGGGTCAGCCTCTCTGGATGTGGAGCGCTGCAGTTTGTCAATTTCCTATTGATGGAAAAAATACCACATATCAAAATGACTATGCCACCATGCACAAAGTTTATCTAGCATGCGATCTTTTGTGAAATACACACTTAAAACACATGACAAAATAACTGTAACCTTGATCTCTGATATCAAAATATACCAAACTTACTGTGGATGTTTTCTCCATGGCCTCAGATGTAAACAGCTCATTGGTTAAGAGATTCACCTGAAACAAACATAATACAAGGCTTAAAAATATTAAAGAATTGGTTCTCAGATATTGGCTTTTGAACGTGTGGGCGGGCGGTGTTCTTCTTTTTTCTTTTTCTTAATTCTTCAAACTACAGTGGTCCCTCGCTACAACGCTACCACTGGGGTCCAAATAATTGGTGGGCGATATAGACGATGAGCCTTTTAACCGAGGCCGAGGCGGGGGAGCGCGCTCGGCAAATCTCAAATCATCAATATGTGTTTATCTCACGTCACGTCAAAATAGTATATATGTTTATGGACCTAGATCTACCTGTAATATCATTCATTTATTAAATCTGTCATATTTCACAATGTCTGAAATACGTATTCCATTCTAATTTATCATTTTTTATCGATAAATTAAAAAATTATTCACCATTTCCTGCGATGTTATTGAAAATAAAATTCTCCGACACACATTACAACAACAGGTCTGCATCGAACATGTCAAAGAGCAAAATAAAGACGTTTTAAGCAAATCTTTAAATATATTATACAAAGTGATAAATAAAATCAACAAAAATATATCTAAAAGTAATCAAACTTACATCTAAGTTATTATTTCCATCGTTTCGTGCGATCGCGTGTAATGTAAGTCAAATGACATCTCGGCTTTCGTCGCCTTGAATTCTCGGCTCGGACACAACATTTAATACAAAAATATATGCATGAAAAATCTTTGTCACAGCTCGTAACCTAGCACGATACATTCGCGAAGTTCCATATTTTTAATATATATCGTGATTTCCTGCTTAATACGTTCAGAATAACACGATTTAACAAAAAATCTTTCGCCAACTTCTGAAATTTATCAAACACGAGCTTGGTATCACAGCTATAATTTGATTGGCTGCCTGAGGTCACGTGCTCAAAATTGACCAATCACGAAACTTGTAGCAGATTTCGGCAAGAAAGCGTCATTAGAAACAAATTTTAATCCAATGAAATCGCTTGTTATAACTACGGAAAAATACCAGGCGATGTTACGAAAGCGCGATTACGAAATGAATGACCGCCGTGTTGTGACAGCAACTACATGTGTGTGACAGTGTCGCCTCAAATTGGATTGCCCACTAATTAAGAATATAAACTCCGCTTTTGGTTCTCTTTTATTGCATGCATGCGCTTCTAAGATCAAAGGATGTATAGTGTGAAAAGTTAATTAGTTGAACAATCGTATTTCCAGGACTTGCCGCGGATGTTTTCAAACAGATTATCAGAACTCCATTCAGCGATAAACGGTTGATTATGCAATGAGAAGCGTTATGTGCAAATGAACAACGAATAACAATACAATTATGTCTGTGTAAAACTCTCAGTAATATAAGCGTACATAAATTTTGGGAGCCATGCGTTACCGCGCGTAGTAACCGAGGTTGTGCTTTATCGAAGAGCACAATAGCGAGGGATCACTGTAGTATGTAACCATATAAACAGTTGTGTACAATCAACCTGGGAAAGAGCCTCCTTACATAAATGTATTCCTTGATAAGTAAATTACTGGAATACAGTATTTGACTACCATGAACTTACCATGATGCAGGCGGTGCCTGAGAACCAAGATTATTATTTTTTTAGCCTAACATAATTATTTTAAACGTATACTGAGAAACAATGATCTGTTCCAATGATTTGGGGATTGATGGCTGATATAGTTAATGGAAATGGAAGGAATGCAATTTGTAAGACAGGCTACAGAACACCGTGCCCCACCTGCTCCAGTATCTGCTGCAGATGCATGTGAGCCTCTAGAGGAGACATCTTCAGCTCCAGCACAAGTCGGTCAATCTTGTTGAGAACCAGGACAGGTTTGATATTCTCCAGCCATGCCTGCCGCAGCACTGCATGTGTCTGTATTGACAATCAGGGAACATCAGCTATCACATCATACATGGCAATCTAGTAGTTTATATCAGAATGCCAACTTTATAGAGTTACCTCCCCTAGTTTGAACAATGAAAAGACAAGATATTGTTAATTATATTTATTCCTGGCTTATGTAGGATACCATAACAAGACCAACATGATCTGGTCAATTGTGGTACCTGCGGACAGACTCCCTCGACAACATCCACCAGCACCACTGCCCCATCACACAGCCGCACCGCCGTCGACACCTCACTGGAGAAGTCTACATGGCCCGGTGAGTCAATCAGGTTAATCAGGTACCTCGCCTCGTCTGCAACACAGACAGGAGAATCTTGACATCTTGTGCGTTCAACATTGCTTTGAACAACAGCTGAACACTGTTCGTCATATTAAAAAATGTTATAGGAAAGCCCAAAATGATACAGGTCTTACTCATTTACTATCGAGACAAAACATTGGATTTTGCTGACAAAAGGATGATCATAAACAGTCGATCCTGGCAAAGGTAATGGTTGCAAACATTGCAAGTAAGAGATTAGGATTACTTCATCTTAATTACTGCCCACACTAGTGGTAAACATGGCCTGGGAACACCCCGGCAAAGCCAAAGAAACACACTTTTAACTGACACTCACCTTTCTGATAGAAGAGAGAAATGGCACTGGACTTCATGGTGATGCCTCTCTCCTGCTCATCCTCCCGACTGTCCATGTACCGCAGCTTTCCAGCCATGCGCTGAGAGATGATGCCATTACTGGCAACCAGTGCATCAGCCAGAGTTGTCTTCCCTGTCAATAACAACAAAATGGAATGCCTGGAGCCACACATGGGTAGTCCACAGCAGGACTGACAGTAGTGTGTGAGTGAGTATGGTTTTATGCCACTTTTAGCAATTTTCCAGCAATATCACGGGGGGGGGGGGGGGGGGGGGGAGGGACACCAGAAATGGGTTTCATAAATTGTACCCATGTTGTGAATTGAACCCGGGTCTTCGGCGAGACAAGCGAATGCTTTAACCACTAGGCTACCCGACTGACAGCAGTGAAATGTACACGTTTCATATATTTTCATAACAAGAGACAAACATAAATTCATGAAATTATATGCTGGACAAGGTAACAAGTCTTGTACATGTTGCATGAAAATGTAAGGAGGATATTTTCATGTTAGGTGTGACATGTATTATGCGATAAAATAATCATGTTTCTGTTTACCATGTTTACTATACATGTTTAATAGTCTATTATGCACACAAAATTAAAGCTAGTCAAATAGCAAGCATCTCAGGTAATAAACGTGTCTATAAACATGAAAGATATAAAAAGAATGCCAGGCTAATTGTGTATAAAACTGTTCATGTTCAAGTGAACTAGAAGTTTACACGTCATCCCTGGCCACATAAACCTACTTTGATATTTTCAGTACTAAACAGTGCTAAAACAAAATCCATGGCTGCATAATTTAAGTATGTTCAGAACTGAATGAGAAGCAGTTTTTGTCTTTTTCATCACATCCATGCTCATGAAATTCACCTGACGACCGATGGAAGGTTTGGGAGATCTTGAAGGAGAGAAGTTTTCATTTTCATTTTAATAAGATTGTAGAAGAACGGGTACCTCTGAAGTTAACATGCAACTGTAGATAGTTTACTTCACCATGTTCACTTTTACCATTGTTTTCTCTAGTGTTAACATATATGATATGAATACAGATGTAACACAGAATCCAACTACATACTCACCATGATCTACATGGGCAAGAATACAGATGTTGCGAACATTGCTCGGATTTTTCTGAAGTGACGCTAACTGATCCAGCGTCTTGGTCCTCATACTGATGATGTATACTTGAAAAATTAAAATACTCTAAAACTGAAACAGACGATAAACAAATATTGCTTAAGCCTTTATATGTAAATCGGACTAAATATGTCATAATAATTTATACAAACTGATAAGTAATCATGTGTTCATTTAGCTACTGCATTTTGGTGGGAGTTTGTGTCAGTACAGACCTGTGAAGATCCGGGGTAGGATAGGTCTTCAGCAACCCATGCTTGCCGTAAAAGGTGAATAACAGGATCGGTGGTCAGGCTTGCTGACTTGATTGATGGATGTCATCGATCCCAATTGCGTGGATCGATGCTCATGATAGTAATCACTGGATTGTCTGGTCCAGATTCGATTATTTACAAACCGCCGTCATATAGCTGGAATAGTGCTGGGTGCGGCGTTGGACAACAAACCAAACCAACAGATGCAAATCAGAGATATTGGTAAATATAAATTGCTGGCACGTGATATAGAATGTTCTTTTTCTATACGACGGATAAATAAAATAGTTTTGTACTCCAAACGCAGAAAGTCAACAATGAACATAAGCTTACAGATTATTGCGATGGAGCTGTTTAGGGAACACTTTCAGGGTGTCAAATAGTTTTCAGAATCTCAATATAGGTTGCTGAAAATGAGAAATTTTACAAAGTGTGGTTTGAAGGACATTAATAACACAACTGTCAAGACAATACTCACCGATGGTTAAATCATTTCTGTTTCAATATCGATATGATCAAGTTTATACAACTGTTATTTTACACAATATGTCATTACGAGTGGCAATAACAACTATTGCACATGTGCTTCCGGAAAGCGCCGCCTATAGGATTACAACACTTCCGTTAAAAGGGAAACAACTCTCCCAGTTAAATGCATTCATAACAGGGGCATCTCTTCCTGGTGCAAGTTCGGCCCAAATCCAAATACTACTCCTACTCGATTCTACCACTGCAGTCGAAACTACCTCAAGACGAAATATAATTATAAGACATGCCTAATATTTTCATTGTGCTTTTGGTTTGGAAATTATCGTGGCTTTTCGTTCAAACTTATGACAAGGAAATCCTTATTTTCCTCATAAAGGAGTGAGTGAGTATGATTTTACGCCGCAATATTCTCGCAATATCACGTCGGGGGACACCAGAAATGGGCTTCACGCATTGTATTCATGTGGGGAATCGAACATGGGCCTTCGGCGTGAAGAGCGGGCGCTTTAACCACTAGGATACCCCACCTCTACTGATAAAGGAATTTCCTTTTCTGTCATGATTGTTTGGTAAGACGCGTTTATCTGGCACCATAGATTTAAAATCTAAACCGCTCAGACGCTCATGAGTTGGATATGGGTGTGCCTGTTTTATTAGTGAGTATGGTTTTACGACTCTTTTAGCAATATTCCAGCGGGGGACACCAGAAATGGCTTCACACATTGTACACATGTTGGGAATCGAACCCGGGTCTTCGAACTCTTTAACCATTAGGCTACCCGACCGCCCCCTGTTTTATGAGAACGGTCGACGTACTAACCCTTGAAATAGACAGATTACTTTGCAGAGACAGTAGGCAGGGAATGGTCTCTTAGTTTTAGATATAGATCGGCATGCAAACAAACTTCTTCATAAAAACATAGCACTCCGCCCCCCAACAAAAATAAATAAAACAAAATAATGATGATAATTATAAAGTCATCAAAATTTAGTTAGGTTTCTTACCTTTGAGGTACGTATTATGGGATTGCCTATCAGTCGGACCCTTGTGGGGACACAGGGTTAGGAAAGGTCCCAGGCAATCTATGTTAGTCATAGAGGCGACAATATGGATCGAGTGCTCAGACTTGGTGACTTGGTTTATTGCCTGTAATATCGCACCCCGAGTGGGTGTGGCGTTGCTAATTATATCAGTGACTGGTTTGTCTGGACCAGATTCGGTTACTTAAAGGCCGAGTGTCTGAAACAGGCCCGAGACAGTTCAAGGTTGTCATAATGACAAATTACTCAATTATCGACGATCACACCCACATGATTAATATATACACATAATTAATTATCAACCACTCTCCAAAACTGTGCAACAAGGGAACTGATAAGAAAATCAGGATTTCGAGAGGCCAAGGGGCCTTTTCTTTCACCAGTTATAGTGCAGTGAGACGTATTCAATCTCACTTAACATGCACAATTCACCCTGATGAAAACATCTTGTTTCTGCACAAACTGGTTGTATGAAACTATATGTATGTCACACTATAATATTGCAAAACATTATATAAAATACTTACGAAGTGAAGACGCGTATTTTTCTCTTCACTCAACATCAAAATTAACTGATCGACTCCGTGGTCTATTGGAGAGGGAAAGGTCGGGGGTTTCGATACAAAAAGACGTTAAAAGATGGTCTTGTTGTTACCCTGTCTGGTGCTCGGCATTAAGGGGCTAAAACAAGGACTGGTCGACTCGGAATAAGTATACTGTGTCTGAGTGGGGTATTCATGTTAAACTGCGACATGGTATCTCAGTGTGCTAGCACTATAAAATCGGCATCAGTTCGGACCAGTACATATGTAGCCACACACACACACACGTGCATGCAGGACACCATATAAGTACAATAATCTTAAACGAGACGTTATACCCCATTTCACCTGACTCAAAATTAACTATATGTTCGACGGATGTACCATATAATGTGTTTAGAAAGACTACACTTTACACTATCTTCCATAATACTTTTTTTTTTTATGTCAAAGTACATCGTATATAAAGGAAACATGTTCATTGAAGTGAAGCCCATACGCTGAATGGTCTAGGTTTACTTTTCACTGTTTTCCGTTTCGAACATTCAGGGAAAACAAACACGACGTTCTCCATAATATAAATATGTTTAAAAAATTATTTTTTTACAGTTGATTTAGATATAATATAAATATATCGTTTATGAATATTACGCCGATTAATTAATACATTACGTCTCTCTTTGAAACAGTGTCTTCATTAATCTGAATGTGAGGAGGGGGCACGGGTGGCCTAAGGCGCCGCGATTCGCTATGCAGAGTTGCGTCCCTTGGGTACGCCAGAAACCTATGATTGTGGGTTCGAATCCCGGTTCGCCCCGATTATGTTCCTAGGTTATATCACGGCGTGCCAACTTAATGTGGGAGGAAAGCCCGAAGTGATGCAGGTCTCAGACGTTTACCACTTCAGTGAAACCCACGAGCACGGGTATGGTGCTGACACGCGGCGTTTAACCAAACTCACTCGCTCAATGTGAGGATGCTTAAATTGGCCGTAGCCACACGTATACAAAAACGTCCAGCAAGAGTCCCTAAAAGATGGAAATGTGTAGCATGTTATTTATTGAATTTGTTCAACAAATAGTGTAACTCAGCACCACCACATGGTCAAGCCAGTGTTGTGACGTCACGGGCGGCACAATAGCAATGACGTCATAGAACAGTTCCATGACGACGTTCCTAGTCCAATCCCCCAGTTCTAAGCACATTGTCTTTGTGTTCACACGTACACTTGCTGCGTGTCATAAAGATCAGAGTGTTACTGTTCAGGATCGCCGATTATTTGATACCCGTGACCATCATCTACTGCTGATGAGGTAAGCAAATCTGTTGGAATTAATATAGGTGTTTTAATCATGTATTTCCGTAATAAAAGCTTGTCGTTTAATACATCTTGATCTCGTTCCTCGGCTACACTAGCTTCAGATTCTTTCTGAAATTGGAAAAATCGGAATTGCATATGAAAAGTGCCCATATCGATTAACAATGTATACGGTAATTCTTCATATTCCGAAATTCAAAAAGAAAATGTATATGTTTATCTATCAACAGATGGCTTTGTGCACACAAGGGCGTTTGAAAGAACGAAAACTTCTCTCTCCCATTCTCGAGGCGGAAGACGAGGCGTCTAAATTGTCTAGTCCAAGAGCCATGGAACAACACAATAATTTACTGGGTAGGTCATCATTCTGTTGGGTTTCAAGTATTTTGGATTTGTACGGAGTGATATCAGAAAAAAAACACACAGAAGGAAAGCTTAGAATGTGTTGCATAAGAGTCACCCATCAATTTGATAACTCTTGTGGGTAAGTGGATGTAGAGTCCTTATCACCATGCTAAACATCTGAAGAGAATTGGTGTTGCGTACAGTCAACTTTGCCCACGTGCTAATGTGGAACTTGTTCCGATGTTAAACACGATTCGCATTTTGTTTTCAGCTCAATATATGGACTTGAAATCGCAAGTTGGAGATATGGAGGAGAGGTAAGCAGAAGCCATGAGTAGACATCTCTATATTTTCCAGTGGCAAGAAAGACAGAAATATACTTGTGGTACACCAGGTGGTCTCGGATCAAATATAGTAAATTTTCCGCAGAAGTATAAACCTACATTTTTCATTCATTTGACAGTCATTTTGGAAAGAAAAGTTGTTAATATATACTCTTTATAATCTTTATATTTTGATACAATATATTTCTCTTCTTCAGTCTTCTTGACCATCTTCTCAAGGAAAACCAGAAACTGCGCCAGGTCAATGAGCGACAGAGCCGCGAGCTCCGACAAGAATATGAACTGAGACTGAAGGCAGAAAAGGACAGGGCCGAGTTTAGAGTAGAATATCTGAATTACAAGCTCAGTTTAACAATGGAGCATGCCGAACTCCAGGAACTGAAACAGACGCTGGAGGAGCTCGCCAGCAGCCGGGAGATGGAGAAACAGGCGGAGGTGGAGCAGAGGAAGAAGCTGGAGGAAGAGCTCGAGCAGCTGAAATCCATCCATCAGTTTGCAACCCTCCAGCGCCAGGCTTTACCTCTGACCTTCCATAGTCCAGGCAAGACACAGGCCAGTCTCCCGGTCATAGCTCCCCCAGCCCACCCAAAGAAGGCACAAAGGCCGTACACTGGAAAGACCAATCGAAAAGTTCCATGCAAGATCCAACCTGCGCAGAACACACCCTCTGCTTGTGGGGACAGCACGATGAAGACCATAGCTGACAGCAAGGTCAAGGTCACTCCTGGCACAGAACTAACACCGAAGGACACTAAGAGAGGTCAACATGTACCTAAACAGACACTTAGATACTCAAGAAGAGTTCGCCAGATTCACTGAGATATGTTGACAATGTTATGTGTGTACTACTTACATGTATAAATTTGTAAATATTTTCGCTTTTAATTGATGGTCATAACTTGTTTGTAAGAACAACTGTGCAGCACCAGTTTCCTTTGCGAGATAAGAACGGCACATATATGTAAATTTTCAATTAATTTGTAAATAGAGAATTTAGTCTGACAATGATTAAAATTTCTTACTGTTTCAACAATTGTTTTTTGTTGATGTCACAACTGTCCTTAAAATGTTCCACGTCGTATTATGTTATTTGTCAATGGCGGACCGAATCAGCATGGGGTACTTACTGAAGTGAATCTACTGATCATGTTGTGGTACTGCTGAAGCGAGTCTACTGAATATGTAGTGGTAGTGCTGAAGTGAGTCTACTGATCATGTAGTGGTACTGCTGTAGTCAGTCTACTGATCATGTAGTGGTACTGCTGAAGTGTGTCTACGGATCATGTTGTGGTACTGCTGAAGTGAATCTACTGATCAGGTTGTGGTACTGCTGAAGTGAATCTACTGATCACTGTTGTGGTACTGCTGAAGCGAGACTACTGATCATGTAGTGGTACTGCTGAAGTGAGTCTATGGATCATGTTGTGGTAGTGCTGAAGCGGTTGTACTGATCATGTGGTTCTGCTGAAGTGGGTCTACTGATGATGTTGTGGTACTGGTGAAGCGGGTCTACTGATCATGTTGTGGTTCTGGTGAAGCCAGTCTACTGATTATGTAGTGGTACTGGTGAAGTGGGTCTACTGATCATGTAGTGGTACTGGTGAAGAGGGTCTACTGATCATGTTTTTTTACTGGTGAAGCCGGTCTACTGATTATGTTGTGGTACTGCTGAAGTGGTCTACTGATGATGTTGTGGTACTGCTGAAGCGAGTCTACTGATCATGTAGTGGTACTGGTGAAGCGGGTCTACTGATCGTGTTGTGGTAGTGCTGAAGCGAGTCTACTGATCATGTAGTGGTACTGGTGAAGCGGGTCTACTGATTAGGTTGTGGTACTGCTGAAGTGAATCTACTGATCAGGTTGTGGTACTGCTGAAGTGAATCTACTGTTCATGTTGTGGTACTGCTGAAGCGAGTCTACGGATCATGTTGTGGTACTGCTGAAGTGAATCTACTGATCAGGTTGTGGTACTGCTGAAGTGAATCTACTGATCAAATTGTGGTACTGCTGAAGCAAGTCTACGGATCATGTTGTGGTACTGCTGGAGTGAATCTACTGATCAGGTTGTGGTACTGCTGAAGTGAATCTACTGATCATGTAGTGGTACTGCTGAAGCGAGTCTACGGATCATGTAGTGGTACTGCTGAAGTGAGTCTACGGATCATGTTGTGGTACTGCTGAAGTGAGTCTACGGATCATGTTGTGGTAGTGCTGAAGCAGTTGTATTGATCATGTGGTTCTGCTGAAGTGGGTCTACTGATCACGTTGTGGTACTGCTGAAGTAAATCTACTGATTAGGTTGTGGTACTGCTGAAGTGAACCTACTGATCAGGTTGTGGTACTGCTGAAGTGAATCTACTGTTCATGTTGTGGTACTGCTGAAGCGAGTCTACGGATCATGTTGTGGTACTGGTGAAGTGAATCTACTGATCATGTAGTGGTACTGCTGAAGTGGGTGTACTGATCATGTAGTTGTACTGCTGAAGCGAGTCTTCTGATCATGTAGTGGTACTGCTGAAGTGAGTCTACTGATCATATTGTGGTAGTGCTGAAGCGGTTGTACTGATCATGTGGTTCTGCTAAAATGAATCTAATGATCAGGTTGTGGTACTGCTGAAGTGAATCTACTGATCATGTAGTGGTACTGCTGAAGTGAATCTACTGATCATGTTTTGGTACTGCTGAAGCGAGGCTACTGATTATGTTGTGGTACTGCTGAAGCGGGTCTACTGATTATGTTGTGGTACTGGTGAAGCGGGTCTACTGATCATGTAGTGGGACTTGTGAAGTGGGTCTACTGATCATGTAGTGGTACTGGTGAAGCGGGTCTACTGATCATGTTGTGGTTCTGGTGAAGCCAGTCTACTAATTATGTAGTGGTACTGGTGAAGTGGGTCTACTGATCATGTAGTGGTACTGGTGAAGAGGGTCTACTGATCATGTTTTTTTACTGGTGAAGCCGGTCTACTGATTATGTTGTGGTACTGCTGAAGTGGGTCTACTGATGATGTTGTGGTACTGCTGAAGCGAGTCTACTGATCATGTAGTGGTACTGGTGAAGCGGGTCTACTGATCGTGTTGTGGTAGTGCTGAAGCGAGTCTACTGATCATGTAGTGGTACTGGTGAAGCGGGTCTACTGATTAGGTTGTGGTACTGCTGAAGTGAATCTACTGATCAGGTTGTGGTACTGCTGAAGTGAATCTACTGTTCATGTTGTGGTACTGCTGAAGCGAGTCTACGGATCATGTTGTGGTACTGGTGAAGTGAATCTACTGATCATGTAGTGGTACTGCTGAAGTGGGTGTACTGATCATGTAGTGGTACTGCTGAAGCGAGACTACTGATCATGTAGTGGTATTGCTGAAGTGAGTCTACGGATCATGTTGTGGTAGTGCTGAAGCGGTTGTACTGATCATGTGGTTCTGCTGAAGTGAATCTACTGATCAGGTTGTGGTACTGCTGAAGTGAATCTACTGATCATGTAGTGATACTGCTGACGTGAATCTACTGATCATGTTTTGGTACTACTGAAGCGGGTCTACTGATTATGTTGTGGTACTGGTGAAGCGGGTCTACTGATCATGTAGTGGTACTGGTGAAGTGGGTCTACTGATCATGTAGTGGTACTGGTGAAGCGGGTCTACTGATCATGTTGTGGTACTGGTGAAGCCAGTCTACTGATTATGTAGTGGTACTGGTGAAGTGGGTCTACTGATCATGTAGTGGTACTGGTGAAGAGGGTCTACTGATGATGTTGTGGTACTGCTGAAGCGAGTCTACTGATCATGTAGTGGTACTGGTGAAGCGGGTCTACTGATTAGGTTGTGGTACTGGCGAAGTGAGTCTATGGATCATGTTGTGGTACTGCGGAAGTGAGTCTACGGATCATGTTGTGGTACCGCTGAAGTGAAACTACTGATCATATTGTGGTGGTGCTGAAGTCAGTATACTGATCATGTAGTGGTACTGCTGAAGCGAATCTACTGATCATGTGGTACTGTTGAAGTCAGTCTACTGATCATATTGTGGTACTGATGAAGTGAGTCTATGGATCATGTTGTGGTACTGCTGAAGTGAGTCTACTGATCATGTAAAGGTACCGCTGAAGTGAAACTACCGACCATATCGTGGTACTGCTGAAGTGAATCTACTGATCACATTGTGGTAGTGCTGAAGTGAGTCTTCTGATCATGTGGTACTGCTTATGTCGGTCTACTGATCATGTAGTGGTACTGCTGAAGTCAGTCTACTGATCATGTTGTGGTACTGCCGAAGTGGGTCTACTGATCATAGTGTGGTACTGCTGAAGTCAGTCTACTGATCATGTAGTGGTACTGCCGAAGTGGGTCTACTGATCATGTAGTGGTACTGGTGAATCGAGTCTACTGATCATGTAGTGGCACTGCTGAAGTGGGTCTACTGATCATGTTGTTGTACTTCTGAAGTGAGTCTACTGATCATGTGCACAGCAAAAAAAATGCAGTTTCCGGTATCCGGATACCTGCCGGATACCACCGGACACTTACCCAAAACGCGTCCGGGTATCCGGTGGCAGATACCTTGCCGGATACCAGATCCGTGGTATCCGGCATGGACACCTCACCTGAAAGTATGCCACCTGGAATCCGGGTATCCGGCACCGGATACCTCACCGGATACCTCAATCTGGGTGTCCAAGGATCCGCACCGGATACCAAGAATCCGGCACCGGATACCTCATTCTGAGTTTCAAAAAACATGTCACAATTTGGGGGTGCATTTTGTTCCATTAAGTGTGAAACACCTAAATATATATTGGAAACTAACCATGAAAATTGAACATTGCTGAAGGTATCCGGCAGGTATCCGGCAGGTATCCGGATGCAATTTTTCGAGATATCTTATTTCTGGTAAATAATGTTAGCCTGGGCATATCAGATAGCTGTAGTAATACTCTGTGTCATTTTAGTTGTAAATATCCCCTTAAAGTTGAGATCTATGGGCATGTACTTTTGGAGAAGACAATTGTTTTCAATTTCATCTATAATTCTTTTTAGATGTTAAGCTGTTTAATGAACAAACATCAGTTCTAATACATGTATGAGGATATCCTTAAATTTCATGTTCAGACTTCCAGAATATTCTGAGTGAAAGTATAAACTCATAGACTGTGTGCTCACTTGGACCTTTGGTCCTAGTGAGATGATAATATGATTATTTGTAAAGGTACAAGTACTTGTTATGAGCATACCAGCTTCATTTAAGTTTGAAACACAATATGCCTCACTCTGAGGGTGACAGATTTCATCACACTACAGAGAGCTGTTCCTCAGTTACTGAACATTTTTACTGAAAGACATTGAAAGCTAATTTGACCTTCAATATCAGTTGCGACTATTTCAAAAACAATTGTAAAGTGCTTCATTCAGTGTAATATTGACAAACATATGACAATGAAATACAAATATATGTATAAGAGTTATTTAGACTTCTGCAGGAAAAGGCACATTAGAGAACAAGAGTCATCAGAAAGATGACATATCCCCCCGGCAGCTGTCTGTCAAGTAACCACTAGTGCAATTCTGTATGTAATGAGTCAACAGTTGAATGTTCTTTAAGAAGCATACATTGTTTACCCACAAAAGAACCACCATAGTCGCATCCATATGAATGCCAAGTTTCGATCAAATACATTGAATGTTTTTCGAATTCTGCCCCAGAAATGAACCTCATCCCGAATTGAGTCTATGTCCAACTTCATTCCATAAAAAATAAAAAAATAAAAATTAGAAAAATCCCAAATTTGAAAGGCACCACTTCAGTATGTGCATGATAGCTTTGCCAAGTTTCGATCAAATACACTGAATGGTTTTCAAATTCTGCCCCGGAAACGAACCCCATCCCCAATTGAGTCTATGTCCAACTTCATTCCATAAAAATTTAAAAAAATAAAAATTAGAAAAATCCCAAAATATCAAAAGGCACCACAAGTT